GGGGGGGGGGAGGGGGGAGGGGGAGAGTTAACATCCCAGACTCCTAGACACCATAAAGGTAGTGGTCAAAATCATTAAATCATGGAATGATATTAACAAAACAATCCCAGCTGTTAATTTTCTAACCTGGTAAGTCTCCTGTGAACACAGAGTAGTTCTGTCTACCCCCAGTGAGCCTGTCGTGTCTGGTCATAAATTCCTCAGTGCCCTCGCTCTCCGTGCTCATCACGTCTAGATCTCTATAGCGTGGATAGGCCCAGTACTGGTCTGACGGAGCTGGGATATGAGGCTTTGAGGCTGAAATAGGATATACTATAAATATGATAACTGAACATATCCAGCTCTCTGTGCATAAGCATGCACGCACACACACACACCTACACACACACGAGAGAGAGAGAGAGATAGAGAGAGAGAGCGAGAGAGAGAGAGAGAGAGAGAGAGAGAGAGTACCTGCTGCTATCTCTGGAGATGTCTGGATCAGTCTTCTGGTCTCTGCATGCAGTCTGCTCTGTAGAGCCAGGGACATCTCCTTCAGTGCACTGATCCTCTCTTGTTTGGTCTTTGGTTGACTGACTGAGGCGTAACCAGCACCTGGGGAAAACAGACATGTTGTTTATTGTCTCTTGTGTGAAGATGGTAAAAAGTAAACTGTTTTAAAAGAATCTCTATTTGTTTTTACAAGGGGTAAAACCTAAAACATGACTGACTTGTTGATGTTAGTTCAGGTGGCAAAAATTCTATTCTCTTCAAAAATAAGATGTTTCCTAGATGTATGTTGAGAGTGGAAGGTGAAGAGGCATTCAACATTTCCAAAAAGGTGTAATAAATGTACAGACAATTTAATACCTGCAAGTTTTAAGAATAGTTTTTAAAATACCACACTTGCTTTTATTGAGTGGAAATCATTTAATATGGTAGTGGCATCTAAACCATATAAGCATTCTTACTATAAGCTTCTGCTAGACTACTGGCTGCATTTGTCCTATAGGTGGCAGCAGTAGCAGAGACAGGCACTGTGGGTTGGTACGGCAAAGACGAGGCCTGATATCCTTGACCCTGAACTGGTTTAAAACTGGCTTCTAAAAACAGAACAGAACAGGGAATATTTATCAGTTATATCAACTGAAAAGGAATTTTCTGGAGTTTTGTCACTGTCCTTGAAGTTACCCATGGGAATTTCAAGAGTGTGTAGGTAGTATGAAAATATGGATTGGTCCAACATTTGAATAAGGGGCAGGATGAAGGTGCTGGGTACAAATTGTTCATCAAACAGTGGTGTACTATTCTCAAGATGTGACTCAAATGATGATGATGATTATGACAGAAACAAAGGTAGTTCATGATCAATTTTAGCTTATGTCCTTTTCGAGACATATTAATCATCTAACCAAGATCAAAACCAAACAAAATGAGATTGTTCAACTTGATATAAATGTTACATTTTCCAGCCAAGAACAGATCCTCTTTCTTACACCAAACAGATCTGATCTGTATGTAAGTTTAATTTTGATACAATAAAACCTAATGCCTTTTTTCACAACCCATATTACATTATGCACAGTAAATGACAAAGAAAAACTTCACCAATATCATGCAAGGAAGATACAACAAACCTGCACTGGGGAAATCTGTCATCCTGGCAGGCATCTGTTCAGACATATCGATATCGGTGGTCAACTCAGACGTTGACGACTGCACCTCGCTGAGAGCCTGGGACTGTGGCTGATCATCTCTAAAAACAAATACACAGACACAGTTCATTATTAAATTACAGGCACCACTCTGCATTCTACTGAAAGTTTTACAATTGTATACCACAGCACTGTATGATTTACTGTCATACATTAATGTTGATCTGATAGATAAAAACATGACTGCATATCACAGAACTGTGTTTCCATTTTCATTACCTTATGACATTTTCTAGTATATGACCCAAGTAACAAAATGATATCTATTTTTTTTTATTATTTAGACTAAGAAAAGTTATTAATCCCAATGTTACCACATAACACACAAGAGGGGTTGTCAGCTTGTTATTGAAATATCAAGCCTAGACGGAGTGCTATGGAATTTTGAATATGAAAGTTCAGTAGTACTGTTTTCTGTGTACCTGTGGCTCTGTTTGCCCTCTAGACCATCTCTGGTAATGGTGGAGGCATCACTGCTGGACAGATTGTCTTCGTCTGAGTCCCTGTGCTCCCTGTTTTCCTTGTCAGAGCCTGTGCTCACCTGAAATGATAAGTAGATAAACATAAATATCCAGTAGAACAAGAACAAAAAATATAAATAAATCAAACTCTGGTAAAGTTCCACAACAAGATGAAGAGGAACAGTTTATAGGTGTATGACACTGAATGAGATGCCTGGTCCACCTGGATCATAAACTTGTAGGAGGCTGCAGGGTGAGACCACAAAGTTGGCTTGTTGTTGAATTCTGACTCATTCCAGAATTTTCATACACAATATTGCACACAGTAAATGCTGTATAAAGGAGCGAAAAAAAAAAGTGGACTTCTAAAGAATCGAGGGACACAGGTGAAATGGACATGGTAATTTTAGTGCAGCAACTTACATTTTCAGTATTGCTTTTTTGAACTGCTATGCACTACAATCTTTATATCCCATATACATTGATCAATTCCAGCATACCCTTAGAAGCTATATTGACCTGATATTCAGTATGAACTTACTTTTCTGGAATCATCATGGAAGGGATGTCTCCTGGGGAGGTCACCCACACTTTGACCCTTGGAGAAAGTCTCGTCAAGGACCCTGTGGCGATCAACTATATGAAAAAAGGTGTAATTATAGCAAATTCTTTGATCACTTATATTAGTACAGGTATTTATGTATTGATCTCTGAGGTCAGGGTGACTTCTATTTATAATATGTTTTTTTTTTTTCATAAAGAAACAATGATAAATTTACCTCTTGATTAATTCTTTAGTTTTTCATATAAAAGGGCCTCAAAAGCTGATTTTTACAGGAAGATATACAAATATACAAAAATCCCAACATCTGCTATGGCATAAACAGAGAAAGCCCACCTCTGTTTGGTCTTACGGGCCGTGCACTCTTCTTCTGCTTCTTGTAAAGATCCTCCAGTTGCTTCTTCTTCATTTCCTGCTGCTCTTTCTGGTGTTTCTTCTCCTCCTGTGATTTTTTCTTCCTGTCTGCTTTCTGTTTGGCAATAAAACGTCTCACCTCGTCAGTGTCATAGTGACGTACCTTGGCTGCAGGAAACTTGGTCTCAGGCTCTAAAAGAACACAGATATGTATGATATACATGCCTAATTCTTATACCCATAATATGTGCGTACACACACACACACACACACACACACACACACACACACACACACACACACACACACACACACANGGGGGGGGGGGGGGGCGAGTTAACATCCCAGACTCCTAGACACCATAAAGGTAGTGGTCAAAATCATTAAATCATGGAATGATATTTACAAAACAATCCCAGCTGTTAATTTTCTAACCTGGCAAGTCTCCTGTGAACACAGAGTAGTTCTGTCTACCCCCAGTGAGCCTGTCATGTCTGGTCATAAACTCCTCTGTGCCCTCACTCTCCGTGCTCATCACGTCTAGATCTCTGTAGCGTGGATATGCCCAGTACTGGTCTGAGGCAGTTGGGATATGAGGCTTTGAGGCTGAAATAGGATATACTGTAAGTATGATAATCTGAACACATCCAGATCTCTGTGCATAAGCATGCACGCACACACACACGCCTACTCACACACCACACACACACAGGAGAGAGAGAGAGAGAGAGAGAGACAGAGAGAGAGAGAGAGAGAGAGAGAACCTGCTGCTATCTCTGGAGATGTCTGGATCAGTCTTCTGGTCTCTGCGTGCAGTCTGCTCTGTAAAGCCATGGACATCTCCTTCAGTGCACTGATCCTCTCTTGTTTGGTCTTTGGTTGACTGACTGAGGCGTAACCAGCACCTGGTAAAAATAGACAGGTTGTTCATTGTCTCTTGTGTGAAGACGGTAAAAAGTAAATTGTTTTAAAAGAATCTCCATGTGTTTTTTCAAGGGGTAAAACCTAAAACATGACTGACTTGTAGATGTTAGTTCAGGTGGCAAAAATTCTATTCTCTTCAAAAATAAGATGTTTCCTAGATGTATGTTGAGAGTGGAAGGTGAAGAGGCATTCAACATTTCCAAAAAGGTGTAATAAATGTACAGACAATTTAATACCTGCAAGTTTTAAGAATAGTTTTTAAAATACCACACTTGCTTTTATTGAGTGGAAATCATTTAATATGGTAGTGGCAGCTAAACCATATAAGCATTCTTACTATAAGCTTCTGCTAGACTACTGGCTGCATTTGTCCTATAGGTGGCAGCAGTAGCAGAGACAGGCACTGTGGGTTGGTACGGCAAAGAAGAGGCCTGATATCCTTGACCCTGAACTGGTTTAAAACTGGCCTCTAAAAACAGAACAGAACAGGGAATATTTATCAGTTATATAAACTTGAAGTTACCCATGGGAATTGCAAGAGTTTGTAGGTAGTATGAAAATATGGATTGGTCCAACATTTGAATAAGGGGCAGGATGAAGGTGCTGGGTATGAACTGTTCATCAAATAGTGTACTGTACTATTCTCAAGCTGTGACTCAAATGATGATGATTATGATAACAGCAGAAGCAAAGGTACTTCATGGTCAATTTTGCAATATCATGCAAGGAAGATACAACAAACCTGCAGTGGGGAAATCTGTCATTCTGGCAGGCAACTGTTCAGACATATCGATATCTGTGGTCAACTCAGACGTTGACGACAGCACCTCACTGAGGGCCTGGGACTGAGGCTGATCATCTCTGAAAACAAATACACAGACACAGTTCATTATTAAATAACAGGCACCGCTCTGCATTCTACTGAAAGTTTTACAGTTGTATACCACAGCACTGTATGAATTATTGTCATACATTAATGTTGATCTGATAGATAAAAACATGACTGCATATCACAGAACTGTGTTTCCATTTTCATTACCTTATGACATTTTCTAGTATATGACCCAAGTAACAAAATGCTATCCATTTTTTTTTATATTTAAACTGATATAAGTTCTCAATCCCAATGTTATCACATAACACACAAGAGGGGTTGTCAGCTTGTTATTGAAATATCAAGCCCAGACGTAGTGCTATGGCATTTTGAATGGGAAAGTTCAGTAAAACTGTACTGTTTTCTGTGTACCTGTGGCTCTGTTTGCCCTCTAGACCATCTCTGGTAATGGTGGAGGCATCACTGCTGGACAGATTGTCTTCGTCAGAGTCCCTGTGCTCTCTGTTTTCCTTGTCCGAGCCTGTGCTCACCTGAAATGATAAGTAGGTAAGCATAGATTTATTAAATATAAAGAGAAAGATAACTGTGTGGTCCTGGGCATCCAATACAAAATAATTTAAAACAAGAAAATGAACCAATCAAATTCTGGTAAAATACCACAACAAGAGGAATAGGGACAGTTCGTAAGCGTATGACACTGAATGGGTCATAAACTTGTAGAAGGTTGCTGGGTGAGAACACAGTGTTGGCTAGTTGCTGAATTTTACAATATTCCAAAATTTTAATACACAATATTGCACACAGTAAATGCTCCACACCACAGAGAAAAAAAGTGGATTTCAACATTACAGAGATACAGGAGATATGGACAGAGTTATTTTAGTGCAGCAACTTAAGGTTTCAGTAATGCTTTTGTGAACTGCTATGCACTTCTTCATATCCCACATACACTGATAAATTCCAGCATGCCCTTAGAAGCTATATTGACCTGATACTCTGTATGAACTTACTTTTCTAGAATCATCATGGAAAGGATGTCTCCTGGGAAGGTCACCCACACTTTGACCCTTGGAGAAAGTCTCGTCAAGGACCCTGTGGCGATCAACTACATGGAAAAAGGTGTAATTATAGCAAATTCTTTGATCACTTACATAAGTACGGCTATTTATATACTGACCTCTGACCTCTAATAAATTTAACTCTTGAATTATTCTTTACTTTTTTCATATAAAAGGGCCTCAAAAGCTGATTTTTATAGGAAAATATACAAATATACAAAAAAAATCCCAACATCTGCTATGGCATAAACAGAAAAAGCTCACCTCTGTTTGGTCTTATGGGCCGTGCACTCTTCTTCTGCTTCTTGTAAAGATCCTCCAGCTGCTTCTTCTTCATTTCCTGCTGCTCTTTCTGGTGTTTCTTCTCCTCCTGTGATTTTTTCTTCCTGTCTGCTTTCTGTTTGGCAATAAAACGTCTCACCTCGTCAGTGTCATAGTGACGTACCTTGGCTGCAGGAAACTTGGTCTCAGGCTCTAAAGGAACACAGATATGTATGATATACATGCCTAATTCTTATACCCATAATATGTGCGTACACACACACACACACACACACACACACACACACACACACACACACACACACACACACACACACACACACACACACACACACTTGTTTATTGTGGTTTAAAATTAAAGAATAAAATGTGCATACAATATAGTATAAGGCAGATGTCAGTGATAGTGACTTAATGCTTTTTAACTATGCAAATTATACCTGGTTTTGTCAGTTTTCTCTTCATTCTACCCTTTCCCACTTTTTCTTTATGAGGGCTGTCTGCCTGTCTTTCCTCTCTATCAGCTTTATCTTCTTCATCCTCAGATTCTGTAACATAATCAAGGCAATTCAATAAGTTCTAAGTAACGTTTCCAAGATGAAAGTAAATTATTTAGACCATCATAGTACTAAGCTCAAGTTGGTACAAAAAAATTCCATACATGAAATACAGTGCTGTACATAAAATCAAGTCCAATAAGTTTACTTATTTAATATTAAAGTTTAAAGTCTTAATGCTATAAGTAAAATAAAGTCTATACACCTTACACATCTTATAGTTACGTCTATCATAATCTTGTTTAATAGGTCACAGCAGGTGTATGAGGACAGGCTTTGAAGAAAGAGGACATACAAGTTACATTCAATTTGTTCTTATTTTTGACAGTTCCTAACTGGATGTCTCTCTGTACACAATAGTTACCAGATTTCAGATCAGCTAATACATGTTTGGCCTGTTCAGAGAGTCCCTTTGCCCTGGAGGGTTCCAGACTGTCCTTGAAGTCTTCATTATCAGAGACATCAGTGTCTGCTTGGTCTGCTTCCGGCACGTCAGCTGTCGCCTGAACAGGATCTGGCTTCTGCGGTACTGGAGTCACTTCTGACAGAGAGAAAAAATTGTTCAGATCGTTTAGTCTATATTTTGCCATAGGATAGATACACTGACAGAAAAAATGGTAAAAACCCTTTTCCACAAAATTTTATTTTTCAATGTCTCATACAAAATCCATATAACCTTTACATATATTTGGGAAATAATCTCTAGTAAGGAAGAAAACTCCCACCCTGATAGATAAACAAAGGTCATATTTCAGCATTATCAGGGAAAATGACCTCTGAAAAACATTTTATTTGTTTACATTTATCTCATAATAAAAAGATCATGGTGCTGACAATTTAAAGATAGTCTAACAAATCCGGTTCATGCCTAAAGGTAAACTGTACTCAACAGAAAGACAGCAAAAAAATTAAACTGATGTTTTAGAATTTGCCTTAAAGATATGTCTACTAGTGATCAAAAAATGTTATTCAAATAATGAAAAATGGAACTTGGCCTTATTACAGACATCAGACCCATTCAAATGTTCTACACTACTCACCTGATGAGGGCTCCGTGTCCTTAGTTGGTGGAGACAGTGACATTTTGGGCAGTTTATTAGGTCCTAGTTCCTTCAACACTAACTTCTGTCCCTCTCTCCAAGATCTAGTTGTAATGATGTCTGAAAAGTTTTTAAATAACATATTTACAAAAAAAAAAAAAATATGAACCAAATCATTCTTAAATGTATGAATTGAAATAAATCTGAGTTTTGCCAGAGTATGAAAGAAAAGACATCCTCACCCTTCCTTTCATATTTCGAAGGACGTTTGTGATGAGAAATGACCCTCGCAGGTTTAGTACTGGACTTCTTGTTGGCTTCTTTTTTAGATTCTTTGGCAACTTTGGATTCTGAAAATATGGTGACAATAAAAGAATCATATTTAAATATAATTAGTCTTAATGGAGATGTTATATATTTTTTTCATTTCTTATAAATCAGCTCAATGTTAAACCCTAAAAAATGTATCAATCAAAGATCTCTGTTGCAATGCTTTCTTTTATCTTCATACACAATATATTTTCTATATCATTTATCTAGAGTATTAACTGCTCTTAACCTAAAGATGTCACTAAAACTGGGACAAAAGGCAGTAATAATAAAGCAAAGTTCGCATATAAACACTAAACTAATAGCCAGGCAATCTCACATTAACAGGAGAAAAAACTTTCAATTGTAAAAGAAAATAAAATAAAGAAGTCAAATCAAATGCAAGCTTCCATACCTTTGCTAATTTTTTTCTCCCTCATCTTCCTCCTTGACTGTGAGACACGGACCACTTTACCTTCAGGTGTTCTTATCTTAGTCTCAGCTTCATTAAAACCTGTTTGAAAGTGTTTTCAGTTTTCAAATCAAACAAAAGGTAAAAATACTTTAAAGGCCACCTTCCCTCATGCTATTTCAATTTTTGATGCCCATTATTATTACCTGATCCTTATCATGTACCTCAACTGAAAAAAAGGGTGTCTCACCATTAAAATATCTTGCTCAAAGTTAAAATCTGAATAATACCTTAGAGCCACAGGCATGTAAATCTTGTTACAAACACTGGATAATAAAAATATTCAGTTTTGGTTTTTCATGCCCTACCTCTGTACGTAGGTCCAGGCGGCCCTGCGGCCACTTTCCTCACCATAGGCTGCTTCTCTGCAGCATAAATATCATACGTCTTTGGTTGCACAGTTTTTTCATCTGTGTGGAGTTGCCTCGATCCCAACAAACTGTCTAAACTCTGATCAATACTCGTGTCCTTTGTGAACAATTTACCAGTACCATCAGACCTGGTAGTATATGTGCTGCCGCCTATAGGCAGTCTAGGATGACCTCTGACCTCTTCAGGTGCTGTCTCCCTGTTAAGACTGGTGTTGGGGGCCAGTGGGCGCGGTGCGTCTGGGGGTTTCTGTAGACCCTGACCTTGGCTGAATATGTCGCCTACCTTGTCAGATGCTAGGAAAATAAACCACAGAACCTAAGAGCCTTTATTCCGGTATATCAATAATTATTTTGTAATTGCTTACCTTGCACAAAGATACACAGCGCACAATTACAGGATAATTGTTTGGTATAAACAAACTTGTGTACAAACCTTTCAGCCTTTGCTGCATAACTTTCTCCCTCAGCTTGGCCAGGCCCTCAGAGTTTCTACTTGCTGATTTGAGGTTTTTCCTAAGTGACTGCAGTTTGGCGTCCCCACTGGTCTCACTTCTGCTGGTATCAGTGTCTTTACTTTGACCCAGCCCAGGGGTGACTCCTTCCCCAGGGGTACGTGTGCTGTAACCCTGTGATGCCCTGTCTAACCCTTCATAGGGTCGCGTATATGCTCCAGGTATGTGGTCCCGCCCAAGAGGGTCCCCAACAGCAGCTGTGGTTTGGGTTCTCAGAGGAGGAACACCAGTGCCATCTACAGCAGTCTGTGTCCTGCCATAGTCAACTCTGGGGTGACTCCCACCAGTCTCAAAAGTCCTCATTGTGTCTGTAGTGTATATACTATTAGTCGGTCTTGAATATGTTGATCCAGGCACAGTCACATTAACGTAGGTTTGCCTGGTGCTTCCAGAGTATCTCCTGAAGTCTGACATCTCAGGTTCAACCCTCCTGCTGTCTGTTATGTGATCATTCAAAAACCTCACTTCTGTTTCTCTCAAGGCCCTAGGGTCAGTAACATTGCCAATACCTTCACTGGACAAACTTGGCCGATCAAAACCTGATGACCTTGATGAGTCATATATTCCTGACCTTAAGGGATCACTTGACCCTGACCTTGAAGCTAGGCCATCAAGGCCATGTATTCTGTCACTGTAAGAGGTCAATATTGCATCTCTGTTCTCTATGCTTCTGTATTCATTTCTGTTGCTGAAGCCCACTCGTTTAGGGCTCTTTGTTCTGGGCTGTCCCTCCCTGTTTGCTGCTGCATAGGAGAATGTTCTCGAGTCTATTGGACTCCTGGCTCTGTAAGCATGCTCTGGTTCTTCAGTGTATTTGTCTTCTGTAAATGTAAAAGTCATTAAATTATGCAAAATTCTATGGCAATTCTAATTTATGAAGTACCTGCCTTAAAACATAAGATTTACAGAATACATACACTTGATGAGTCAAATATGCCAGCTTAATCCAAACGTGTTTTTTAATGTTTTTTTTGTATTTTTTTTTTTTTTGCCATATATTTTAACAAATTGGAGAAATTATTTTGAAATTGTGCCAGCAGTCTATCAAAATCCCCTTGTACACTTCTATCCAAAAACCATCAGGTTCGAACAATTAAAATACTAACAAAACAGAAATGTGTCACTAAACTGTGTGTAATAATGTGTATAGATCTAAACATGTATTTACCTAAACGACTGACTTTTCGACTGGTACGTTTTCGCATCTCTTCAGTTCTACCAAAATTGTCCAATCGAGTCTGAAAGAAGAATAATGCATATGCTAGTATATACTGTGTTGTTGAGTTCTAATACAAGGTTGGAAAAGGGGGGTGGAAAGTACAATTGCGATAAACCTGCTTTGGAGGTAAAACAGAATTTATTACATTGCTATGAGTTGTTTACAATGTTTTTAATGTGAAAAATAAATCTCATATGAAGAGTTGTTATCCCTTTCACTTGTCTTTCTAATCATAAAAACAATTGAAAGTTAATAACATACAGTTACAGGTCTTCCTCTGTCTTCAATACGGAAGCTGGGGACTCTGTCAACTGTGACACTGCTGTCAGAAATGTTCAGGGACTCTGGCTCCTGGAACTTGTAACGAGCAGCATCATCCAGTCTGTGCTCCACGCGACGCAGCTGGAAATAATGCAATCATGTAGGAGAAATGCTGCTGTGCTGAATACACATATAACAACTAAATATTAATGTATTGTAGAGATCTTACAGGGAGAGGAGAGAACACTTACTGCAGTTTTAGTCTTTCCCATTTTATCCCACGCCTTCTCAAGATCTGAAAATATAAAACAAGTATATTCTTTTAATAATACAAACATAATTGTTTCAGTGATTGGGAAGGAGCGCGCCATTGCGCCATACGCGCATAGAATAGTAACTGGGCGCATAAAAAGCCCTGTTTGTGCGCCATAAGGGCGCGTGATTTTGTTATACCTCGCGTTTTTAAAAGAGTCTACTCGTCAATAAACTATTCATCAACTGATTAGCGTAACTTTCCTCTCATACCTGAAGACGTCTCAGGAACGAATTCAGAAGCTATCGAACGCAATCGCCGAAGTTTGCCGAGAGCAATGAGCTCATCGTCCCAATAGATAGGCTAATGAAATAAAAGCTGATATCTTATTGGCCAATCAGTTTATAGGTCATGTTTATCCAATTAGAAGTGACCTTGCTTTTTGTTCTGAAAGCACATGGGATTTTTTCAAGCAGCAGTTTGATGAAGTGAAAAGAAAAATGCAGCCGAAAATTATTTTTAAAATCTCGCCAGACCAGCCTACATTAGTTAGTTTATTTACTTCAACCGCTTCGTCTAAGGGTCTGTCCAACGTTCAGGAAGAAGTCTCAAAGGAGAAGGGGGGAAGAAAATGTACCAACTTCTGAGAGCAGCGCTCCTTGCACCACGATGAGTAGTAGTGACACTGACAATAGTGTTACTGCTAGTGCTAGCACCTCTCACTCTAAGGTTGCACGAGGTTTCCAACCTCGATGGCTTCAACTATGGCCCTGGCTCCAGTACGACTGCGAACAGTGTAAGAGTTAAGATTCTTGGGAGTAAGATGAGTTATGAGGATGCACTGAATGTGTGGCACAGGAAAAAGATATTACTTCGTTAAGTAATGACATCTCTTTTCAATAAGACTGATTAATAAGTACTAGACAGTATGTGAAGACAATTTCATTTACATTTTCTCAGTTTTGAGTAATCAAGGTTTTCAGAGATCTAGATTGTTTACCTCTTGTTGATGGTTTCATCAAATAAAAACCAATTACTAATGAGTATTTCATGTTTTCTGATCATTTTGTTTTTTCATTTAGTCTTCAAATAAGTTCAGTAAAGAAGGCATTGTAATGGTTTTATTGAAAAAGACAAATAAGTCTTAACTAAATAAATATATTAACAAATTTTAACTGCAAAACCTTATCATATTATTCCCAAAAATATTGATACAGATATTTCAAATATATTTGTCATGTTTAAAAATGGCCCATAAATGTCGAGCCATGGCCCATTGATATGCAAAATGGCCCATTTAGGGTGACCTAGGAGGGGCCATTGTCCCATGGGTGGTTTGAACCTTCCCAATCACTGTTGTTTATAAACCATAAATGGAAAAAAAACATGGCAGCAGCTGAAAACAATTACTTTCACTTTTTATTTGTTATTGTTCTAAGAGATGAAATTATTCACAGCAGTCAGTTTACTGTACAATGCAAAAACCTTCATGGTGAAAATTAAAATAAAATCCATCAACTAGGCAAAGCCAAAGGATCTGTTATATGCTATTGAAAAAGATTAACTTTTAAAAAAAAGTTTTTCAATTTATATAACTTTAATGTGATGAACATAACTAGTAGTTCGCTCTGTTTTAAACAAAAATATTATAGAACAAAGCAAATTTGATATGTTTCATAAGAAGAGATAGCATAACCTGGCTTCCTTCTCAGAGAAGATTCCTTTTTAGACAATAGATTTAATTTAAGACAAATAAAAAACAGCTAAATCAGTAAATCAATATCCTGCAATCAAATAGAAATATGCTGATCATCTGGTTTTAATCTGCTTTTCTAAAGTAAGGGCCTTACCTCCCAGGGATGTATCATACTGTGTGGGGGATGTGGGTCCTCTGACCACAGGGACAGGATCTGTCACACGCCTGCCTTTGAACACTGATGCCATCATCTGAATCAAAATAACAGTGATCATTATAAGTACGTGCACTTGTTATTTCTACACTGGTTTTTCATGCAATAGATAAATATTGTGGTTATAGGTAGTGTATTTTTACTGAGATTTATAATGTATTTAACAGGTGTTATGTATCAAGAAGTTTCATTCATTAATACTCATATTGAGAGTTTCTATGTTCTACATTGTGCTAACTCACGATAAACAGAGACCTGTGCAAATGACAATAAGCTAGTAAATAGAAGTGTAATCACATGAAACTACTTGCTATACATTAAGACATGGGAAAAGGGAATCTTTGGTGGAACTAAAATGATATGGGAAACATAGCGGGCTCGGCTGGGGGTTTGAACCCTGGACGCTTGATCTACCGATTGAGCTACCGAGACTGCCAGCCACAAAAGGCCACACATGATTGGTGTATCTTTAACAAATTTTCTGTGCTCCACAAGTAGTGTTTTGCTATAAAGCTGTAATTAAAAACCTGTCTGTAATACTCCCACACGAAGATTAAAATTAAAAAAAAAATACGGGTGTTTAATATTGAGATAAGTTATACAGAGTAACGTTACTAACACTAATGCAATTTTCACATACTGAAAATAGTAAGTTCCAATTGGTTTTAAGTGAGTTAAAAACTCAAACTTTTCCTCACATTTCATTTCAATTATGAGTATTCTCAACATGTTGCAAGTAGTTTACAAAATGTTACGACGAGTGTTTGCAAATGAATTGAATCCATTTGATACTTATGCAATAATAAAAAGCTAAAACGCAATAACTTACAAGAATATGGAACGACAGCTACTTAGTCCAACTGCGGCTGTGATGTTTGAATTAAGTTTTATCATTATTAAAAATTAGACTTGAAACCAAACAAACACAACGGCCTCTCACCGCCATTTTTGTTGATACTGCCGCCACCTTGAATGCAATATATAGGTGGAGCGGCGAGCTAAGATAACCCCAACTATCAGTAAAAACGTTTGAGTTGGGTTTGCCAGGAATATTGGTGAATGCATCGAAAGCTGTTAAAACACACACCGTTGAGCAATATTTTAAACGTGGAACAGACTGCTATCAACACTCTTCTTGGCAATTATACTGTCCAAGAAAAGCCTCTTGTCACAATGCGACGTCCCCGCAGCTAGTTCCAGAGAATATCAAATCATTCATTGAAAAGTTCAGAAGCGCCGCGCATCCAACAAAAACATAAGTAATTTGTAACACAAAATGCAGTTAGACTTTCATTAAAGCATGGTCGGTCTCTCTTCCGCTTTACAGCCTTTTTCCCTTGAGCACCATTAAACATATATCTCATCTACTGCAATGCACTACCTAACACCGACCCGACGACATATGGAAGTGGACGTACCTAACCGTTTAGTCATACTGAATGTGTTTTTGAGCTTCAAGGACAATCAGCGCTTGGCCTTTGCGGCAGGCGTGAAGTCATTCCACCGCACCATCCCTGATGAGTCATGGCATAAAAATCTGGCCGATTTGTGAAGTGGTATACGATATTATTTACTTAGTATCACCCTATTTTGTTGGGAATGACAGTTTCACGTGTTTATTTGCGACAGGAGTTGTTTTTTCAAGCGTATATTGCGTTGTGTTGCGCAATTTTAGGCACAGCCGAATGAGTCATCGAACAACGTTGACGCTACGATTCATTACTAGTAGACCTTAGTAGACCAGGAAGCTAGACCAGGACCGAGCAACATGTGGCTGTCGGTGTTACCTACATTTATGCTCTTTCTCCCAACTATATGCGGTATGTATGATTATTTAAACTGTTTTTCTACTTCGCTAAAGTTAAAATGCTACCTGTAAGCTTAATAGGGCCCTTTAAAACATAGAAATGGACTGAAGTACACCTGTACAGGTATGCACAGCAAACCGAAATGGCGACCTTGACAAGATTACTTCCTCCAGGAGTGTATCTCCAGAATGTTCTATAAAACTTCTTTCTGGTGCAAAAGTAACTTTATTTATACCAGTAGAACCCAAATGCGACCACAGAGAGGTTTACTATGCATACGTAGAGTTCTATATGTGCCCATTTTTATCCATTTCTGTTTTAAACGACCGTAGTGGGTCACGTCTTCAGTGGGTGGGTGACACAAAACAAAACACAATTCATAAGACTGCCATATACTAAAATAAAGACCATGCCCACGTTTCACAAAAGAACTTAAGTCGGGTTCCCTGACTAAGAGCTTGGTTACCAACGTAATTAAGTCCTTACCTCACTAAGTCAAGTTTCGCGAAGAATTTAAAAGGTCGCTTACATGTTTTTTCTAACCCAAGAATGGTGAAGCTGAATTGCGCAACATTAGCGCAACACAGTGCAATACACTTGAAAAAATTAATGCAGTTACAATATAACAAAGAAAACGGTTATACTCAACTAAATACTGTGATATAAAAGCAAAATATATTACTAGGTTATTATAAATGTCGTTGACTTAACTTAACATTAGCGTGACTTATATATCGTCGGGTTGGCAGCCATATTGGTTTCTGGCTCTTCTTGGCAATATTACTGGCCAAGAAGAGCCACTGGATAACATGGCGGCTGAACTGTTTCTTTGAAGTTGTATTGAAGTTAAACTAATCAATAAAGTTCCAAAACAAACTTTGTTTTGAACTTTTGTTTGCTTTTTATTGTTGATAAACGATCAAAAAGGCCATGAAACATAATGTCTTATATGTTTGTTTCACTCCTTTTTTTTTGGAGGAGTTTCTTGTGCGTCTCGACTATGGTAAGCACACGTACTGAGCTAGGACTTTAGATTCTTTGTGAAACACTAGCTAGGTCACTCAGCTAGCGCTAGTCAACTAAGGATTTAAGATTCTTTGTGAAATGGGAGCCATAAAATAAAATAGCTTGTGAAATAGAATTGTGTAAAATAAACTGTAAAATGAAAAATCCAAGTAAAATAGAAGCAGACATCGGCTCAGCCTCAAAGATGGTAAACTTTTATGTACCTTTAATTTTCCAAGCTACGTACTTTACATTGCTGTTTGTTTGTAAATTTAGTGTATTTGGCCAAAATGCTTGTGGCAGCTGTGAATAAGTGTCATTTGAGGACTTGATATATAAGCAGGCCTACCCAACTACCAGACTCGACACCGAATGATCCTGAATTCATCAGTAGATCAGACCACACTACCCGTTTTCAAGATGTGTGTCAGATTGCATTACACAGTATCAGACGCAACACAGCTCTTGCCTAGTTCGCGATGTGAAAGTGACGATTCTCAGCGGGGTTGAAAAGCATTGCATCACCAATCAAAATTTGTTCAGGGTATGATACTGTGTAATGCGATCTTACACACACCTTGAAAACGGGAAGTGTGGTCTGATCTACCGGTGAATTCAGGATCATTCGGTGCCGAGTCTGGTAGTTGGGTAGGCCTGATAAGGCAAGCTGCACATGACTATAATAGTCCATGCTCCTTTTTCATAAGCTCTTTAATGGAGGCCAGTGACTGGAGGCCAAATGAGTGATATTAATTCTGTAGCAAAATGCACAGTAGAAAAATATCTTGAATTAGCCAAAGACACATCTTTGAAAGCCTAGTGAGAAATCAGTCTGTATGAATGGTAGAAGGCAGTTTCATATCCCAATTCTGAGCAACAACATGTACAGCTTTTGCCGAGTCCATGATTGGCATTTGGGCATTTTCATTTTCTTGAAAGTATTATGTAAGGTTTATTTACATCTGATTATATCAGTAAAGAGGTTAAAGGGATAATAACTCTTCGTATGATATCTATATTTCACAATAAAAACATTGTGAATAACTCATAGAAATATAATATATTCTGTTTTACCACAAAAACGGCAGCTATAGCTATAATTTTGATATCTGAGCTTGTCTTCAGATCACGTGACCTCCACTGATGGCTGTACTCTGTTATAATCTCTTAAGAGATTTTAACAAAAAACCAAACTTTTTAGAAAAAAAACCAGAGACTAACTTTGAATGTAAAAATGGATTCATTAACCAATGGTAAGTATGGAAAAATTGTTGTTCACTCCAGGAAAATTCATTTTTTGGCCAAAACGAAGAGTTATTATCCCTTTAAATAATATGTTTAGTTTTATTATCATTGATGTAAATAGAAAAAAAATTATTCAACTTCTTTTTAAATCTTATTTCAGGTGCTTTGGGTGCGAGACCTGTGATCCCAGTTGTAGGTTTCAAAGGGGGAACAGTTGTTTTGAGGACGGAATCCATAAGGACAGTGGCCTGCTATCGAAACGGTGATCCAGTTACCACCTTGGTTCAGAATAACAGTGAATTTGGTAGAAAGGTGTCTGGAGGAGATTTAATTCTACAAGGCCTGGATTTATCAGATAGAGGTTGCTATATGTGTGTTGGCTTGGATGAAAATCACCAAAATCAGAGTCAAATCTATGACCTAGCTGTGTATGATGCAAGCGAGACTGTCCCAGTCCAAACTGGTCAAGTCAGGGGACAAGAACAGAACGTACAGATTTTTGTCGGGCAAGGACAGCATGTGAAAATTAGTCTGGAGTTCATTAACCAACAAATATTGGACAGTAAAGACTTACTACAGACACGAATAGCGCACAATGTTCAAAACATTAGCAAATGTCTGCTTGAATGCAGCTCAAGAAGTGTGCCATCATGTCCAACATTAGCAGATGATGTAAATGTGTCGACGGCCGGAACAGACATCACAATTGATGGGGTCACCAATTCCGGGCAGTTAATTGCATATGTTGCTTTGGACTCAATGGAAGAATGCAGTTTCACTATAAACATTACTGTTACTGCTGAGCAAGCTAAGCCCATTTCCCCAATTGCTGACACAAAGCCAACTGAAAAACCAATGCACTCCTTGGGGACAGAGATTGTAGCAGAAAATTATATTCCTAATTTGGGCTTGATTTTGGCTATAATATCACTGATATTAGTATTATTATTAATATTTGTATTAGGCATCATTTGCATAGTAAAAAGGTTTTCAACTTTTATTAGTAGCTAAAAGACTGAAGTTCAGACAATGTCTATTCTCCTCTCTTTGAACTAGGGTTGTTTTAGCTTTAAATGCAACTTTTGGCCAAATGTGATAAACTAATAACTTGCTATCAGTGGGCCTAAGGCCATTTCTGTTGCAAGGGTAACCATGACATAATGAATAGTTTATCACATTTGCCTTGACATCTGATATTTTACTGGCATTGCCAGTGGGACCAGTGGTTTACGTTGCAGACTGCTAAAGATCTAAAACAATTTCTATAGTATAAAGAGAGGAGAGTCACCATTTGATTCTATTTAATGGACAGACTTGTTGTTTGTCCAACTTGTATATAGTCTTTCTATCCATATGCCCAGTAATCAGCACAAATGTTTGTCTAAGACACTGATACACACTGGATGTGATAATTGAGTAGGAAGCACCATGGACAGATTAGGTGTATCTGACTTTTAATGTGGAGAGCATGAACAAAATACAGAAAACATGACACATACACTCATGTGTACTCAGTCACATACACACCCACTTGCTATTACACAAAATGTTACATTTGTTTGAGGCGAGAAGACTTAAAACAATATTTTTATCATTCTGAATTTTTTTTTATTATCATTCTAAGAAATGAATTATTGTGTCTGCTTTGTATCTATGCATTTTCAATATTGTAAGACTAAAAATGTAATAACTTACAAGTTGCACATGTACTTTTGTATTAACCTTTTTTAACACTACACTTCACTGGGGTAGTGCTAGCAATTTTTTTGGCTTAGCCAAATCACCAAATTTTTGTCAATTTGTTATCAAAATGGGTATAATTTGACTAAAACAATTCAAATCAGGCCCTTTTTCTTTAGCCAATTTAAGTCAGTTTTAGCATTTGGCTAAATTGGCGAGTGTTAGCGCTACCCCAGATTCAGCAAAGCTGATAAATACATGTATATAGGTGCACCAATTAATAAATATTTACTGTAGTTGTAATTGTAAACCATGAGGAAAAGAGATAAAGAACAAAACATTAAGCGCTACCCCAGAATCAGCAAAGCTGATAAATACACGTACATGTATATAGGTGCACCAATTAATAAATGTTTACTGTACACACGATAGTTGTAATTGTAAACCGTGAGGAAAAGAGATAAAGAACAAAACATTAAGAATTGTCAGGTGATTGTAGCTACTGTTATAAGAAACTGTTAAAAGGGTTTGTCAAACACATCTGTATTTCCCACTGTATTTTGAATTCAATAAAAATTTATCTCATTGTCTGTCTGTTTTTATTCAAATAAAACATAACATGATATGTTAAACATAACATGATAGTTAAACACTAGTCATTGGCTAACAAGCACTGACCGAGAAAGAAAGAATATATCTACAAATAATGATTAATTTTATTATTACTATTAATACTGTAGAATCGGAATTAATACCAAACAAAAATTAAAACTAGTTATAAAGTTAAACTGAATTAAAATATATTTAAAGTGTGTCTTAAAAATGTAAATAAAATAAAACTCGATAAAAGTAAACTAAAACAAAATGAACTGAGATTAAACACCCAAAAGCTGCCTTCAAACACACTGAATTAAAATTAATGACATATGACACTACTTAAATTTCAGGGCTCTGTATATTTGTCACAGAAAGTAAGCAGAAAATATCCATCAGATATAATTTCCCGTATATTATGAAACGATTTCCTAAGGTTTTTTTTCTGTAAATGACACTATAAGAAACTTCATAATAGTATTTGGTCGAGTTTGTGTCCAAAATTTGACTTCAAAGGCCCCTGTTTATTAGCAGTTCCAGAAATTATCATGCTTGGTGACGTCATCATTTTATGAGCTCCATCTTTGGCAATATTCAACTTTGGACCCAGAATAAAGATTACTGTAACAAAGTTACCACCTTTGCATAAGTCCTCCGTTTATTTTGTTCCACATTTGGCACGGTAGGTTGCTGTAACTTCAAATAAATATGGATAACATCTTCGCTTTGACCTTCTTTGATAATTTTAGTCTAGGGCCGAGAAAATGCCGGGAGAGTCTCTGTTTTAACTGAACTGCGGACATTGCTAAGGGCTAATTTGTCAGTACGAAGGTTTTGTGGGCACTTTTGCAGAATATTGGGAGTTATGCACAGGGTAGGGGTAAGATATTTACCTCATCAGAAGATTAATTTTTTTTCTTATAGAACAGTGAAGATCAAGCAAGCATACAAGTAGCGCTGCTGAAGAAATTGAGAACATCATGCAAGAATACCAGTGCCAGGACTATAAAACATTAATTGTTTCCCCTGAAAATGCTTCTGTTGTTCCTGAAAGAATTCATGCTGAAAAGAAAATATACAAATGCCAGTACTGTGATATGACATTTACTCGAAAACAGCATTGCACTAAACATGAAATAATTCACACTGGAGAAGATCCATTGAAATGCCAGCACTGTGATAAGACATTTAAAAATAAACGGCATTGCATTATTCATGAAAGAATTCACACTGGAGAGAAACCGTACAAATGCCAGCACTGTGATAAAACATTTGCTCAGAAACAGTATTGCATTCAACATGAAAGAATTCACACTGGAGAAAAGCCCTACAAATGCCAGAACTGTGATAAGACATATAGAAATAAACGGAGTTGCATTGAACATGAAAGAACTCACACTGGAGAGAGACCATACAAATGCCAGCACTGTGATAAGACATTTAAAAGTAAACGACATTGCATTATTCATGAAAGAATTCACACTGGAGAGAAACCATACAAATGCCAGCACTGTGATAAAACATTTGCTCAGAAAGAGCATTGCATTCAACATGAAAGAATTCACACTGGAGAAAAGCCCTACAAATGCCAGTACTGTGATAAGACATATAGAAATAAACGGAATTGCATTGAACATGAAAGAACTCACACTGGAGAGAGACCATACAAATGCCAGCACTGTGATAAGACATTTAAAAGTAAACGACATTGCATTATTCATGAAAGAATTCACACTGGAGAGAAACCATACAAATGCCAGCACTGTGATAAAACATTTGCTCAGAAAGAGCATTGCATTCAACATGAAAGAATTCACACTGGAGAAAAGCCCTACAAATGCCAGTACTGTGATAAGACATATAGAAATAAACGGAATTGCATTGAACATGAAAGAACTCACACTGGAGAGAGACCATACAAATGCCAGCACTGTGATAAGACATTTAAAAGTAAACGACATTGCATTATTCATGAAAGAATTCACACTGGAGAGAAACCATACAAATGCCAGCACTGTGATAAAACATTTGCTCAGAAAGAGCATTGCATTCAACATGAAAGAATTCACACTGGAGAAAAGCCCTACAAATGCCAGTACTGTGATAAGACATATAGAAATAAACGGAATTGCATTGAACATGAAAGAACTCACACTGGAGAGAGACCATACAAATGCCAGCACTGTGATAAGACATTTAAAAGTAAACGACATTGCATTATTCATGAAAGAATTCACACTGGAGAGAAACCATACAAATGCCAGCACTGTGATAAAACATTTGCTCAGAAAGAGCATTGCATTCAACATGAAAGAATTCACACTGGAGAAAAGCCCTACAAATGCCAGTACTGTGATAAGACATATAGAAATAAACGGAATTGCATTGAACATGAAAGAACTCACACTGGAGAGAGACCATACAAATGCCAGCACTGTGATAAGACATATATAAAGAAACAAAATTGCATTGAACATGAAAGAACTCACACTGGAGAGAGACCATACAAATGCCAGCACTGTGATACGACATATAAAAATAAACAGAATTACATTGAACATGAAAGAATTCACACTGGAGAGAAACCATACAAGTGCCAGTACTGTAATAAGACATTTACCCGGAAAACCTATTGCATTGTACATGAAAGAATTCATACTGGAAAGAAACCCTTCAAATGCCAGTACTGTAATAAGACATTTTCTCATAAATGTGGTCATATTCAACATGAAAGTCTCCACAATGTTGAGAAACTGTTTAACTGCCCACACTGTGGTACGATATATACTCTAAAAAGTAATGGCATTTTGTATGAAAGAAAAAATAGACAGAAAACATATCAGTGTGATTTTTGTTACAAGGCATTTTTCAGCAGAAATAAATGTGATCAACAAGGAAAAGATCCCACTGATGTGTCGTCCATTCTGAAATCACATACAAAGAATTATATAGAAGACAACCATGATAAAAATTTAGCCTCTCACGATAGTGATGGAGTATCCCATACATTTACATTGGTCAAAATTGAAAATGATACAGAAGTGGGCCATGATAAAAAATTGGTCTGCCTTGATAGTGATGGAGCATCCCAAACATTTACATTGGTCAAAATTGAAAATGATACGAAAGTGGGCCATGATAAAAAATTGGTCTGCCTTGATAGTGATGGAGTATCACATACATTTACATTGGTCAAAATTGAAAATGATACAGAAGTGGGCCATGATAAAAAATTGGTCAGCCTTGAAAGTGATGGTGACAGAATATCACAGCAGATGGTCAAAAGGGAAAATGAGGATTATGGTCATGCAAGGGAGCAGCCGCATCCTGTGGCTTTGTTTAAAAATGTTTTTGCTTAAAATGTATTAAATTGAGTATATTATTTAGCAATTTAAATGTAAAACGATTCTGTTGTATTTTGATAAGCAATAATAATAAATAGATTATATAAAAAAAGAGATGGAATGGTGAACAAGTTAGTATTGCGTTTAAACTTTTCATTCCCTAGAATTACTTGAGCTGTGCTTAACAAAGATTTTGATTACTGCTGTGAACTTTCTCAGCGCGTGTTACTATGAGGCAGCACAATCTCCAGCTTCTCCGTGATAACTTGACCCTGCCCCAATACATCAGTACATGTGGCAGATGGTGTCTGCCCCACCTCTGTTCAGGCTGGCGTTGTTGGCAACAATGTAGATACAGCCACCTTAACCCCCCTTTAATTCCGTAATTTGATATTTGTCAGTTTACTGGTGGATGCATGGACATTGGTCTTAGCATAACATAATTAATGCAGAACACGGACATTAACACCCCATTCTCATAGATTAGATCGACCTACATTGGATCGACCTAACTCCCTGGGGGTTCACGCTAAATAGCTGTCAGCCGGGCGGACACGAAAGTTAATTACCCCTTAAAGCTTGTAGTAGGCGGGGACGGACACTTAAGGGGGATTATCTGACAGTAATCTAGTGAGACTCCCCGCGGTGATAGATCAATCTAAAAGTTGTGAGAACAGAGCCTAAGTCTCTCCTGGGTCCATATCATGCCACCTGCTTGCTATTTCTTTACTTTCAAAAATGACTTTCGCTAAGGAACCAAATTTGGATGAAACTTTGCAGCAAAATCAATGCATTTATTTTATTATTCTGTCTGTTATTTATTTATCTTTTTTTTTTTTTCAAAATTTTACTGAAAATTATTATTATGTTTGAAAGTATGTTATTTCTTCTACGTTTTAAATGCATTATGTTTGCATTGAACATCATTGGAACTCCATGAAAATTCAAGTGGAAGATAATACTTAAAAAAGGCAAACTTTATTCTAAATTGAGAAATACGCTAGTGGTATATTGAAACTGTTGATTATTATATTGTTGGTATTTAAAAAAACTTCCAGAGTACATTTACATTTATTTATTTTTTTCAACAGTAAAAATTTAAACAATTCCGTTGAAAAGTATAGATGTTATGATATTTTTGTAAAGTTTTCAAAGTCAATTCACAGAACACCCCACTGGCAATCTGTAATAACCTGTCGGTGGTTATACACACCTTCTTAGAGTTACTATTTCACCAATAAGTCAACTGAGACAGGCAGGAATAGTTTACTGCTACATGATTTATTCCACCGACTGAAGACTCAGGTCTCTTCTACCATCTCTCTCTGTGGTATCTGTCACCCCCTAACTCTCTCCCTGTCACTGCTTTTATATAATATACACGAACTTCATTTACATTTTAAATTAACTTCTATGATTGACATGCGACATGCCATGCCTTAAGAACTTAAAATTAAATTGTGGGTACAATTTGCATTAACGAATATGTAAATCACATATATGGAAATTAGCTCTCAATAGGCCTACTATTAATAGTTCACCGCATGCAAACTGTCATGTCTATATACATTTGAATAATTAAAACTTAAACAAATATGCATATCTCAGTATGCAAATTTGGAAGACTATCAGTACTAATTAACGGTTCACTACAGCTCGATGCCATCTCAATGCTGGCTTGACTAACTTTTATCACATTACAAGGGGCCTATACTGACGTCATCACTTTATGAGCTCCCTCTTTGAGCAATATCCGGCTTTGGGCCTAGGATAAGAGTTGCTAATCGATGGAGTTCATTTTTTTCTTTGTCTACTTGTATCTGCTTCTTTCAAAGGTCAATTTGGTTGGACTTTGGGCATGGCAGGTTATTGAAACTTCGACAAGGATTGACTTCATCTTCGCTAGGACTTGACTTCTTTGATATTTTTAAAATTCTAGGAACTGTGGACAAATCAAATTAACTAAAAGGTCATCAGAAATTATTCTGTTTAGCTGAACTGCGGAGGGTCAATTATTTGCCATCTATGAAAAATACTAAGGTATTGTGGTCTACACTTGAGAGTAGACACTGTGGAGAGTTCATTCAAGTGCCTGTGCTGACTTTTATTCGCAAACAGCATTGCGTTGTTCATCGGGGATAATTTTAAGAGAAATCTAGTTAGTGTCGACGTACGAGAAACTTGCATGAAAACGAAAACCCTTTGTCTAGAAAGAAAAACTATATGGATGTCAGGAAAGTGGTGAGATATTGACCTCATTTTCAGAAGTTCGATGAATCTTGAAGAGCAACAAAGAAAGTAAATGCCACTCCAAAATCTAGGAAAATATTGTGTTCTTACCAGAAAGGTACCCTGTATATTCTGATTTACAACAAAGGATTCTCACTGAAATAGCAACAGAAAACTAAAATTGGATCAAATTCTGCCATGGAAAGTAACCTCCCAAAATTTGAGAACAACATGCAAGGTAACCAAGATGAAGACTGTAAAACACTAACTGTTTCTCTTAACTATGCTTCTGTTGTTCCTGAAAAAATTCACACAAGAGAGGAAATATATAAATGCCAGTACTGTGATAAGGCATTTACTCAAAAATCTGAATACATTCAGCATGAAAGAATTCACATTAGAGAGAAACCGTACAAATGTCAGCACTGTGATAAGGCATTTACCCGAAAATTGCATTGCATTGAACATGAAAGAGTTCATACTGGAGAGAAACCGTACAAATGCCAGTACTGTGATAAGCAATTTACTAAAAAACACCATTGCACTAGCCATGAAAGAATTCATACTGGAGAGAAACCGTACAAATGCCAGTACTGTGATATGACATTTTCTCAAAAAGGTAGTCGCATTCGACATGAAAGTATCCACACTGGTAAGAAACAGTACGAATGCCAATACTGTAATAAGACATTTGCTCATGAATGTAGTCGCATTCGACATGAAAATCTCTTTCATAAAGATGGACGCATTCAGCATGAAAGTCTCCAGCATGTTGAGAAACTGTTTGATTGCCCACACCGTGATACTCTGAAAAGTAATGGCATTTCGTATGAAAGAAAAAATAGACAGAAAACATATGAGTGTGAATTGTGTTACAGGGCATTTTTCAGCAGAAAGAAATGTGATCAACAAGGAAAAGATAGTACTCATGAGTCATCCATACTGAAATCACATACACAGTATCATATAGCAGACAACCATAATAAAAATTTAGACTGCCACAATAGTGATGGAGTATCACATACATTTACATTGGTCAAAACTGTCAATGATACAGAAGTGGGCTTAGATGAAAAACTGATCCGCCTTGAAAGTGATGGTGACAGCATATCACAGCAGATGGCCAAAAGTGAAAACGAGGATTATGATCCTGCAAAGGAGCAGCCATATCCTGTAGCTTTGTTTAAAAACGTTTTTGCTTAAAATGAATTAAACTGTGTATATTTGTAGCAATGTGAATGTAAAACAATTCTGTAGTATTTTAGCAATTATTACTTGATAAATTAATAAATTACAAGAAAAAAGATGGAATGATGAACAAGTTAATGTAGTGTTTAAACTTTTAAATGTCTAGACTTACTTGAGCTGCACCTAACAAAGATTTTGATCACTGGTGTGACCCTCCTCAGAGTGTGTTACTGTATGAGTAGGCACAATCTCCAGTGTCTCAGTTACACTGCTGCCCCATACATGTATAGTGACAGTCAATGAAAACGCAACATTTATTTGTCAAATAATATTTTAAGTTCCTTTGGAACATTAAGAAAATAACACTTGTTGTGTGAAATATGACCCATTATTCAGTCAAACAAGGTGACTCCTTTTTGACCAAACAAGTGCATTTGTACTCGTTTATATGGTTGGAATCGAATGTTTTCTGATGCGTTTTCATTAACTATCAGTATATGTTTGACAACTTGGTCTACCCAGTCTCCTTGCAGGCTTGGGGTTATGGGCACGGATGTAGATTGCCTCCTTAACCCCCCCCATTAGATACCATGATTTGATATTTGTCAGTTTATTGGTGGATGGTCATAGCAGGTAACGTGGAAGTTAAATCTGTGCTGGGTCCATATCACGCTATCTGCTTTCTGTTTCTTTACTTTCAAAGATGACTTTTGCGACAAGATTGAAGAACCAAATTTGTGTGAAATAAATGGGCTCAATTTATTTGAACAAAAATTATTTTTTAAAATGATTTTTCTTGGTCACAATATTTTGACCTAGTGATCATCTCGTGTGACTGTATTTTTTGCTTATTTGAATCGTTTAGATCATATCACCAAGTAAGCCTTGGTGCATTTTCGAGACATTAAAAGTGGGAAGTGGCAAGCAGCAGCTCTTTTGTCATTTGTAACTGTTTAAAAGGCAACGAAGGGACCCTTCATAAAATGAGGAATTCAAAGAAACAAATGCATCAAGATGTTATCATGAAGAAAGGGTGCGGTAGGCTACATACTTCTATTCATGTCTGGTGTGCCGTGACGCACCTTACATTTATGAACAGTAGGCTAGTATTTATCAGTTTTGACCACTATGTCATTGGCGTACTTGTGGACCGGTCATTATTATAATAAGTTGGAAGGGGCTGGGGGGGGGGGGATGGAGATGAAAATGGGTGATTTTACGCAAAAATTATGGAGGGGTCATGAAATTTGAAAATGACGTTGAAAGTTAAAAGTCCAACTCATGGCTTCAATCAGCAATTAAAGGTGATTTAGACTGATGGAAGACTGCCACAGCTGCAGAAAAAAATAAAAAAATATTTTTCCCTGGTTTTGCCTTGATTTTTATAAAATTCAATTTTTCCCTGACCAAAATACAAATTTTCTTTTATAAGAATGAATAGAATAAATTATGTAGTATTTACTATCTACAGTTGTAAGTGCCAGATTCATTGCTTTATATGAACAAGGTGTAAGTGCTAGATTCCTTGTTTTAGATATACAAGGTGTGAGTAGTTTTCATGACTTGCGTGAGTAGCGCGCCTGTTTTGAATGTAACCGAGTCATAACGCTACAGGATTTTGCACAAGTAGGGTCTCTCCTGCATTTTACCGTTATTTCCAACGTTGTATGGTGTATTGTAACAGTTGTACAGAGAAATCATAATGTAAGTGTTTATCTTATCAAAATATATTTGAGCAGTGTATTTATTAGTTTTCTGTATAAAAAATAAAGGTAAGATATTGGTATATTAGCTAGCGCACCTGGTAGGGTGTGGCCATTAGTATGAAATACAGTGGCACATGGGTACATGAAGCACAGTTATTTAGCATGAATTATTTTCCTGATTATTTGACATTTATATTAAAAAAAAAAAGAAACACTACAGCCAGTGGGCCACTTGATTACAGCTGAACCTTTCTTCCTGTCCATTGTCAAGGTGAAGGTAATGCACGTAATTAAAGAAAATTTCTTCCTGTATATATCTTTAATTACGTGCATTACCTTCACCTTGACAATGGACAGCATATCCTGTGACTTATCTGATCTAAGGAAACCAGAAAGTTATCTAAATAGCCCAGTGAGACTTTCTTTATTGTTGTGGATGAAACCAGTTTCAGAAAATAATTACTATGTCCTACCATACCTGTGTTTAATTGAGACTATGTAAATCTTTGCATATCTACCTCACCTTTGTTTTATGGAGACGGAAAATTACTATGTAGCCGCCTTCGTCTACATTTTATGTTATATATCCTGTCTGTATCTCTGTATTCTGTAAATTGTACGAATTATCTATTAAATTAAGTAGATGCTGCTGAGTGACAGGTAACCTGACCAATAGTAACCAGGAATGTCCTCAGTCAGTCATCCCCCCTCCCAAGGGATTTAAAAATTAGCAATGTTGTGAAAAGGTCAGTACAGGGTTAGCTCTGGAGCAGGAAGGTTGTTGTCTATATTGTAAAGCTTATCAAGGCTCCTATGTACACTTACGCTAACAGAATTAAACCTGTATTATAACCAAAGTCGTGAGTTTGTTGAGAGGCACAGATAATTTCACTGATTTAATTAAATAAGTGATTGAATTTACTGAATTAAAACCAAATTTTGGTCTGAGGTTGATAATTTCTATGTATTTTCATTATTTGAGTGGAGACATACCAGATCCCCAGCATACGAGCAGAGACATTTCCCCTGGACCATCATACATGTACATGTACAACTGTAAAGCCTTGCTGTAATTCATTCTTTTTAACGTTTTAATTAAAATTATATTATGGAAATTGCATTATAAGGTAAATTCCATATTATTTGTGCTCATTGAATAGATATAACAGATTCAAGTCTCTCTATATAAAGCCGACTTAATGTAATGTTCAATATATCTAGTAAAATACAGTTATGTATTTGATGTATGTAATTTAAATGTTCAGATGTACATGTGTAAGTATTTATACAGTTTCCTTTATTTATTTATTTCTTTATTTATTTATTCATTTTATTTATTTATTGTTTTCTTTCCTAGATTATGTACCTTGCTGACTTGCTGATACGCTGACTTGTCCATTTGCTGTACCGACATAAGAGATGTGAATGGCAAAATGTTAACTGAACTGAACGTTGAAATAAAGCATGAGTTACATCTATTCTCCACTGTCTCAACGATTTCACAACACTACTGTTAAATCCTGTCTTATGACAGAGTGCCTACACTGAAGAGAAAAATCAACAATGTTTACCTCCAAAAGTTTTTGTAAAACCATTCAATTTGCACATGGAATTTTTCATTAAAGTATCCACTTGAGAGGAGTGTTTTTGTCATACTTTTTATGTCATGGTGAAAATAACATTTCCAGAGTTCATATATTCATTTTCTAGGAGGGTTCCTGATTTTTTTTATCAACCAACAAGGGAGGACCTGAAAAGAACTGATCTCTATTAGGGGGGGTCTCGATTTTATTTTTATTTTTATTATTTATTTATTTATTTATTTATTTATTTTTTGGTGGGGGATCACAGGCATTTTCTCCTTAATTAATGACCGGTCCTTTAACGTCACATTTACCAATTCACTGTGTGTCCCTAAGTTAATATAATATTTATTAAAATAAAATTGCTCAAAAAGGTCCGTTAATTGTCGTTAATCGTACTAGTGAGGCACAGATAATTTCACTGATTTAATTAAATAAGTGATTGAATTTACTGAATTAAAACCAAATTTTGGTCTGAGGTTGATAATTTTTTAGTATTTTCATTATTTTTATTTATTTATTTATTTATTTATTTATTGTCAAACTACCTCTGTCCACTAACAGCACGTAGGGATTATCCCATGATCACCCAGATGCATCCATTCCCACAGACCAGCCCTCTGACTTGACAGCCTGTTAGTGGAGGGCTCTATTCCCATAGCTTTTAGATCGATCTATCCCCGCGGGGAGTCTCACTAGATTACTTTCATATGATCCGACTTAAATGTCCGTCCCGCCTACTACAAGCTGTAAGGGTGTAATTAACTTTCGTGTCCGCCCGGCTGACAGCTATTTAGCGTGAACCCCCAGGGAGTTAGGTCGATCTAAAGTAGGTTGATCTAATCTATGGAAATAGGGTGTTGGACACTGGGTCTGTCCAACTAGGCCCAGGGAGGGCACCATAAGCTGTCTATTGTATAATCGTCACCAATATTGCCAGGTAGATTTGATTTGATTTTGGTGTGAAGATGCTCTTCAGCCCGTTACGTGTATCATTCTCCGAGATGTCTGATGATATGGACAACAGAATTTGAACTGTATTTTGTTGGTTCGGAAAAGCTTTCGACCCTGGCGGCGTCAGCACGTAATAAATCTACATGTATGCAATCTTCTTCACAGTTGAGGGCGTTTTTATTTTCAACGGTAGCTTCTGCGAAGAAATGTGAATTCCACATTCATGGGTTTGACAGGAAATCTTTTAACTTCTGGACTTTTTAATCGTTTTTATATTAGATGGATTCTAAGCATATTCAATTACGCAAAATAGCACTAGCAATTTCAGACTGAACATCCATTCCACCAAGTCCTCGAAGACAGGATACATGTAATCCTACATCCAGATTCCGAGAGTCATTGTAGCAGCAGGGGGAAATATTCCATATAATTTCTACCCCCTTCCCTTCAATGATGAGTGACACCCTTGGCATTTCAACAGGTTCCTGAAAATGTCTGTTGCGTTTAAGCGGTCTTTGCATTTACTTATTGTTTTCATTTTCGAGAACTTGGTATCAGCAGAGGAGACAAGGTTGGGTAAGTGACTTAAATTAATTTACAAAGAACAAATCTATGAAAAGCTTACTTAACGCGTTTCTAATTATTTTGCCTTGAAGAGGACTCCTCTGTGGTCTGAAGGTGGGTAAGGTGTTGTAAATCTTAACACTTTTCTATCATGTTAATCGATTCTTTATAAAATTTCTACATACTGGTAAAATGTTAATGGGCCATGATCTTAATGCAGATATCAAATACGTTTAAAGAACTCGATTAATGAAATAGAACATTTTGAACTAGACGATTGGCTTTCTTCATTGTATTATGCAACTCGTAACAGATTAAATCGGTTGACCCATTTTACGCTGATTTTGCGATAGCAGTGGCGGATTTAGAGGGGGGGTCAGGGGGATCCTGCCCCCCCCCCCCCTCTCTTTCGATTTCCGGTCCCCTCTTGAAATTAAACTTTTGACTAGCTGAATCTTAGTTCTAAACCGTACCAACTGGCACCGTTCGCCCTCTAAAATACCAAAAATTTTCGGGCCCCTTCAATAAATTTTCTCCTTAAGACCAGTACGTAGGCCTGTAAGTTTCACAATTTCTATCCCCAATAGGCCTACGTAAAATCAACGGAAACCAAAGGAAACTTTAACTTTCTTGCAAAAAAAAAAAGTTTCACACAAACGTTGAAGTATGTTGCATGCGAACGTAACGGTTTGCCATTTAACACATTAAATATCGCAACGTGTTTGATGAGTGGTTGAGAGTTGTCATAAAAATGATCAAAAATAAGGGTGCGACTTATTTTCATTGGATTTTATAAGTCGCGTTATGGTAAACCAAAGTTATATGATGTTTAACAAATATATATATTATCGTATTTATTATTATTATTATTATTATTATTATTATTATTATTATTATATCGATCTGAGGAAAGAAGATTATCTTGGATCCTAGGTCTTCCCGGCTTTTTCCAGATGTTCCTCGTTCTCCTCGCCACGCGGCGCCACTGTCGACTTGCTGTCCGGATGGATTCGTCACCCTGAACGGCGCGTGTTATTATTTTGAATTCGACCAAGACCGCCTGGCAGACTGGTATACAGCCCATACTTGCTGTGAAGCTATGGGTGCCTCCTTGGTCAGTCTGGAGTCTCAGGCAGAACACACGGCAATAAGGAACTTTTTGATAAAGTGGGACGGTAAGAGAATTTATTTGTAAATTTATAAAATAGAAATTGGTATATTGGTTTCCCATATAACTCATCTGACATATTTTTCTCTCTCGATAAACATCTTGTTTAACTTCTAATGCCAACGCTCGAGTATTAATTTATTATTAAAGGAATATTTAATTTTTTACGTCAAAGTGGAACGTCGCCGTCCATATCCAAATTCCTAACCATGTTGTTAAGTTGATTTATGTGTGTATATGTAAGGAGCTTTTCAACTTGTGTGTGTGTGTGTGTGTGTGTGTGTGTGTGTGTGTGCATGCGTATTTGTTTTTGTATTATTTATTTATTTATTTATTTATTTATTTATTTATTTATTTATTACTTTGAATTTTGTATTTTGTGCTAATTTTGATTGTTTACTAATTTCTTAAGTCAAAATATTTTTAAAATTATTATTCATGCTGATGTAAATTCGTATCCCTGCAGGTGCTTTTGCACTCCGCGGGTTTTGGACTAGTGGCAACGACCTCCTGAAAGCAGGCGAATGGGTGTGGACATCACCCTTGGCTCCCGTGGGGCCCTTCACGGCATGGGGCTTGTGGGAACCCAACTATGGAGATGAGCGTTGCTTGAGCTTTTACAAACCTGTCGATGGTCGGTATCTTTACGAGTGGAATAATTCAAATTGTCTCACGAAGAACCAATATATTTGTGAATATCATCCTCGGTCTTAAGTCGCTTGAATAACGCTACGAAAAGCTAAATTAGGACAAAATACGGGTATAGGCTTTTGTTTCATTTGCGTGCTTTAAAATATGCACTTGAAAATATTAAAATTATTGCAAATATCACACCATGATGTTTAAATGTTATGGTACTTCAAATATGTAACTGACAAGCATGTTTATCCATTTTACCAAATAAAATACAGGCTAATGACAGACTGCACTACATATAGACTAGTATTCATCTTCTGATATATCGACATGACTGCCCTTGAGCATCATATGCGCTTGCATATTTTATTTGAATTATAAATGAAAATTGGTCTAAAAGCCATCCCATCTTCAAGATGCGATATAACCACGAGTCGCAAATCGAGCAAATAAAAAATGCTCTGAATGAATTAAAAATGTCAATTTTTGTTAATTAAAGTCATTCATTATTCTTCAAAACCACTCAAATGAGTTACAACATAATGTCATGCTCATCTCAATCAAATATTCTAAGTTTTTTTACACTTAAACTTTTCTAATATTAACACCACTGTGAAATAAACGTCCAAAATCATCGACATTTAAAAATAAACCAATTTTTTTCACATCACAAAATTCGTCGGGCCATTCAAAGTCGTGGAATACAAGAACTTAACGTCCAAACACATCCGAGTCGTCATTCTGTTCACAAATAAAACTATTTTTGACGTCACAAGTTTGGTCGTCCCATTCAAAGTTGTGGTAGTGTAAGCAGTGCTGTGGGCCCCCGCTGGGCTGTCCTTTGGCCCAGGCTGTGAAAGGGCCCACGGGCTGAAGGGTGGACGCCCATTCGTACCTTCCGTTGCGGACAATATCGTTACCGCTTGTCCAGAAATCCAGTTTAGAGAAGGCTCCTAGAGAGGTAAAATGGTCTTTAAATGATAATTGTTAAAGTACCTGAACATACAGATAACAACCGACTTTCAAAACAGGATAACCTCATTTAATGGCATAATATTCATAAAAGAACTGACGGATTTGGGAAGATATAACAAGTGGGAGGTATCTGTCGATGGACAAAAAGTATGTCCATATTGTGTGTGTGTTTTTTGTCAAATCGAAACTTAAATGTATCACCTTGTATAAATCATGGCTTTATATTTCATCGGTTTCCATTTGTAAAGAAACATATACTCGATATTTTTAAAAGGTAGATTAATCTTAACAGTTGTTAACGAGACAATGTTATTTAAATTTCGAATTTAATGTTGATTTCGATGCTTTTTCAGTATCAAATATAAAAGTTTTATTTTATTTAAATACGCTCAAAAGTATTTTAGCGTTTATAAGGGCAATTTTGATGTTCAGTAAGAATTTTGGCCATTTCTCATTTTCACCGGTTTTCTATTATGATAAAATTTGACACATTTTTCATTCAACTTGGCAGTGCACTTACCTCGATACTGCTTCATGTGGGACAAAATTGCGGCATTTTCGTCCTGACTCTCCACGCTCACGAGTTTGGCGCCAAAATTTTGACAGTAACTTTGCGCCTCCGTCCAAGTGGAGAGGTGGACGCCGTCAAAATAATAACAACCGTTGTTCAGTTTTGTGAATCCATGGCGGCAGATTACACCTGGAAACCAAAACAGCATACCATCGTGTATTACAAAATAAAAAAATTCGTAACATCTATTAAAGACATGTAGCCATGAGCAACCAAAAGCTGATGGTTACTTATTCCAAAAATATTGAGATTAAAATAACATCAAACTACTTTATACCATGACTCAGAGCATAATGGTAAAATAAACGATTAATTAAATCAAAATTAAAAGACACGATTAATTTAATTAGCATTAGAAGATCGTCGTAATAAGCGTCCTACCTGCGACCAGGCATTGTCCCAATAGTGCTGAGGCTATGGCAACGAGAAGGCTAGTCTGACCCATCACAATACACTCCTGAATGTACTGACCACGCCAATTATTTCTATATTCAGCCTAAATGACATTTTAAAGCAATGGTTTTGATTATATAAACAGACTGAGAACCAACCAAATGGTCATTTGATTTTTCGTGACTTCGGAAGGATTTGCTCGTAACCTTTTAAACTGTCCAGTTGACCTTAAGGCACGATTTGGTAGACAGTTTTATCTTTATCCCCAACACGGGGTTGGTAAAGATATTTGCTGATACTTCTCCACAGAAGTATGTTTGTGTGCGTATGCATGAGAGAGAGAGAGAGAGAGAAAGAGAGAAAGAGAGATTACATGTCTTATTCAACATGCTATATGTAATTACAGCAGTTTCAAAACTTGGGTAGGAGCTCCTATTATTTGGATGTACCAATAAGAGCCTAGTGAAAAATCGATCGTTAGAGATTGTAATTCTTTAGACACAATCACACACGCTCCTGCACGCTCGTGCACACACACACACACACACACACACACACACACACACTGCCTTTTTTTTAAATTCTACTACAAAATATACACCAGAGAGTAGATCTTTTCGAGCAGAATATATTTTTCTGATTCAAAAAGTCGCAAGAAAGCAAGATTCTTAGACCAATATAAGAAGCATACTAGTAATTCTCGTTAACACTCAACGGGAATTTAAAATGTTAATACTGGAATTATAAGGAACGGCAAAATCAACGGCCTATAATCATCGGCTCGGCACTCTGCTCACAAATAAAATACAGCTTCGACGCGCAGTTCCCGTCGTACCATCTGTACGGGATGTGGTTTGCGTTGTCGCCAGCGTAATACAAACAATGTTGCTGCCCGCCCTGGCCAGAATTGGGTTCTCCCCTTTCCCAGGCGGTAAATGAGCCAACCACTTGCAGTGTGGACGCCCACATCCATCTCCCAGGATGAACAATGTCATTGCCACTTGTCCAAAAATGTCTTAACGGAAAAGAACCTTGAAAAAATTTAAGTTCGAAGTTCGAGGATAAATTTTTGTATGAAATTAAAGTTAATAAAGCAATATGCGTTCATTATTTTGGCAGAAAATGGGTGTCCCAGGTTATCATAAAGCAGCAATGATTCATGGCAACATAATTGCAAATATATTTACCCTCATATTTCATTATGTATGTCCCGATGTCGTAGTGCTCTTCTTTGGTTTCCACGCTCAGAAGCTTGGATCCCAGATTAAAGCAGTACATTTGGGCTTCTGGCCAAGATGTCGTATGCGCGTTGTCAAAGTAATAGCAGCCCTTGCCCAGTTTAGTAAAACCATGGCGACAGATTACTCCTAAAGTACGATTCGAGCAATGTGATAGCTGTTACGATGTATAATAGTGCGTGGATATTTTCAATTAAAAACTACAAGAATATATTTATTGACTGATATACTGAACCTACCTGTGTCCGTTGACACTGCTGTAAAAAAAACGCCAAATGCTATGAGTAAGAACGAATGAAAGAGTATACTAAACTCCACGAACGTGCTCATGACAGCGTAAAGGCAGGTTGTCGTATTTCACACAAGTAGTTCTGAAAAGGTATTTTATTTATAGTAATCTATAACTTGACCTTGCACGTCCTTATCTTCTGTTTCACCTTATCAGCCGAAGAAACATTTAATAATAAGGACAAGCCACATTATGCCGTAAACACGCATATTCCATGGTGTATTCTAACAAATCTACATGTCTTTTTTTAATTATGGAATCATGACCTTTTGATAAAAATTCTACGTTTTAATACATTTCCTACTTTAGTCCTGAATAGCCTTTGTATTAGACCCATGCCGACTTCAAGGCAGGTGACTTTAATTTCCACGATGGGTTGACAGAAATCAATCCCATGTCAGTCTCAAAGAAAGCAGGGCTTTAGAAGGTGCAGGCAAGGAGGGTGAATTCCATGTTTTATTGAGACATTTGTCTCGTTATTCTCAACTTCTTAGAATAATATTGAATACTGTTTTAAAAGCAAAAATCTGAATAAGGTATTTGCCTATACTTGTGAGTAGTTTTCTTTGTTCTTGAGTTAAAAGGTTCACATTTATCACAATTTATTACAGAAAAAGGAAAAGATGGATCCCCCCCAAAAAATAATTCTAATAACAAAAATAAAGAAAATAAAAATAATCTTAAAATATAATTGATGTATTATCAAATGTGAAGACTTACGCCAAATATATAACGTTTTACTTTATTATCTTTTAAAGTCGAACAAATAAACCATGTTCCCTTGCTGCTGATAAGGCTCAAGTACAGCAAGTACACGTGGCAGAATTGCCAAAATGAACCAGAAAAGGGATATATTAAACTAATCAGAGGAGAAACTAAAACGTAAGAAAGACTAAGCAATCTGGGCAGATCTCCATGGAATAATACGTTACACTGAAACAAGTTAATGGCCAGTTGATGGCTATTTGCCCATGCAAATTCATTTATATCGAGCTGGCGCTTGCATATTAAAGACGTAACAGACGTACATCTACACAGGGATTTCAAAAGGAAAGAAGCAATTCGAATTAAAAAACAGTGTGCAATATTTATACCATAATACATGAATGTGGGGCACAGTGATGAAGAATTTGCTTAAGATTTTTGTGTGCAACTGTTTTCTTTTTTTTTTTTTTTCTTTTTTTCCCCCATTTTTTAGCGAGCGCACGTGTCCGGGAAGGGAGTGGCCCCGTGTTATTAAGTGTTTATTTTCACGATGTTTTAAAGTTGTAACTTATCACATGAGAGTTTTCAATTTCATTTAAACTAGAAATAACCCCTTAGAAAACAACCCACACACAAGATCTGTTGGATTTGTTTATTCCGAAAAGTCATCCTTTTGTGCCTAAATATCCTGCAAAGTTACACCTCCTTCACAAATTAGTCCCAAAAAACGATAAAAACACCCTTAAAATATGTCGATATTTCCCTCTGAAATACCAGGAGGACTATGACGTTCTGATTTGATCACAATTCGTATAGAACTAAGTTATCTACCGTTAAGGAGAAATGGTACGGAACATCAAATTCAACTTCAACAATTTGTGAGGAAGAGAAATTCGCTTTTTAGGCAAATTATATTTGGGACGTAACAGCCTTATAGGATAAATGAACGATTAGCTCTTTTTGGCGACTTTAAAGCCCAATGGCGACTGGCTACGCATCCTGCTCGCAGATAAAATGTATTTTTACGCTGCATTCTGAATTATCCCACTGGTAAACATAGTGTGTTACACCGTTGTGAGTGAATGTATAATACTGCAAACAGTGCTGTCCAGGAGAATTTGGGCGAGGCTTGCTTGGTTCTCCTGTCCCCCAGGCAGTAAACGGTCCGATAGGTGTCAGTGTAGACGCCCATTCCCAGTGGCCGTGGTGCACGATGTCGTTACCACTGGTCCACAAACCTTCCAACGGAAAGGCACCTGAAATGGCACACACACCGTATGGCGGTACTATGTACATGATAGCTGTGTAAATGTGAAAAGTAGCAAAGCAGGGAAAATGAAAACTTTTTGGGAAATGTAACAAACCCTAAACATAAAATGATACCTCACACACTATGGCACCTTAAATTGTCGTTGATGAAACTCTTAGTCCTTTTGTTATTTTGAAAATAATTTAATAACAGTAGAAATACACATTTGTGTTCAGCATAATAGTTTGCCTCAGAAGACACGTTCATAATTTTATTTGAGATTTACCCTACCCGTAAGGAATATACATGTATGAATATTGTAATTAGAAACGAAATTTGCATTTGCCATTTAGTCTCTTTCGTAGCAAGTAACTGCATTTATGTGTTCGTGGTACTTTCATACCTTCCAAGAATACGTTTTTATGATAAGGGCCATGTATTTTAGCGTGGTTGATACAAATTTGATAAAAATGCTAGCAGTGAAATCGGAACCCAAGAGCACCTACCTGAATACTTCATAATATGCGACCTGATAGCTCTGTGTTCCTCAGCAGACTCTACGCTCACAAGTTTAGCACCAAAATTCAGGCAATAATTTTGTGCCTCCGTCCAGGTAGCAGGGTGAGTGTTCTCAAATAGGTAACAGCCTTTATTAAGACTGACAAAGCCATGTCGACATGTATTCCCACTAATGCCTGTAAATACACGAAGTAAAATGTATCAGGATGATATTGATAGGCAAAAGTCAGCGCACATTAGTGAGCATTAACAACAGATGGCCCGCGGACTAACTAGTTCTCGGAACAAATATGGTGATCCCACTTGAAAGCAATGTCGCATAATTTCCTAATAGGCTATAATTAGCCCGAGGATCATCTGTTGCCAATGAGGGCATTCAAAACAGTGGACTAACAGATCCGCAGATCAAATGTGGTGACCCACTAAAAAGCTTGCCGTTTAATTCAGGATTAGACACTGAACAGATTTCCTGCGGAGATTAAGGTAGATCGGTCGTTACGTAATTTGACGATTTGCGCAATTTCAGCGCATCGTCAATCGTCTCTAACGACACGACCGATCTACCTTAAGCAATAAGCATTCAAGTGGGCTGGCCATATTTTATCCGCGGATCTGTTAGTACCCTGTTCCGAATGAGCTCAATGCTAACATTCAAGCGTTCGCGATAGTTATTCGTTTTTTAGAGACAAAACACAAATAGTTCACCTGGGGTCGTAGAAGTAGTCCGAAGGTCCATTGGTCCGAAGGTCGAGCCCGAATTAATGCATGAATTAAATGTATAGTTTACAGGCAATAAAGTAAAGTTCATGGGAGGCGCGTAAAAACTATTTTTCGGACCAGTGAACCTTCGGATTATCGAGACGTCCCCGTTCACTTTTACTTTACTATATAAAGATGTCCTTCTACTTTACATTTGTACTACATGTACTTGTGTCGTTGCTACATTGAAAGGAAAATGATCCTTCACGTAATTCTAAGTCAATAGTATCTATAGCAACTCTACTATACCTTTCACTAGTGCGTGTTCCTGCAATAACATGACAACAACGAACAAAAAACAATGTCGCCACATTCTTTAAAACGTAGTTTAAATTCTCAGTTAAAACAGCTGGTAAAAAATGACTGATCGTCAAGTGGGAACTTAAGGCGGTTCGTATTTCAGGTCACATGACACGATTGAATATCGCTGCGCAACGTGTTTTATTGTGTTTCGCAACCTTCACGTCAGCAGATCGGCGTGACATCCGCGTCAATTTGCTGCAATCCCAAATTTTTGCTGAGAAAGTGTGTCTAAAACCATCTCAGCAAAACATGGTATTCGGTGAATCTGGTATTTGCTGAAATGGTTTCACACAAATTAACATGACGAAGTTCCAAGTATTTTGTTTTAGTTTATATTTACTGGATGGATTTGTTATGTCGAAGTCAATTATCCTACTTTGTTCTTCCGATAGAATATACATTCACTGTTCGTTTATATATTTACGGTGTATATTCTGATTGGACTGTCTGTCCGCGTCGTTGCCGTCGCTGTCGCCGTCGCCGTCGCTGTCCGACACATGACGTTAGCCCCGTAACTTTAAAACCGTTGTTTTACTTTAAATTTACCGAGTGCCTCTGTTTGGTAAAGAGGCAGGTTGCTTCCGAAAATTGGCATGATCACATGGAATTGAATCACTTGCTAGTTTTTCAGTGTCCATGTTACGTGTACCTGTAGTACATAATGTAAGAGGGTAAGAGTGATTATGCTTTTTAAAAGCATTATGTTACAGTGCATCAAAATCGGCCAAAACATTCTTTTGTGCACTTTTTTTTTCCTGTGTAATGTCTGAACATTTGGCAGCTTTGCTGTCTAGTTCTATTTTTCCTCAAACATTGGCGGCCCTATATAAAAATGACCAGTTTCTCGAAGCTAATTTTACATCGCTAGCCCTTAAGAATGTAATTCTGCAATAAAAGTTCACAAGAAAGACCACCGCAGGATTAGCGTTCTGACAACTCGACTAATTCGTTCTAGGCTTCTGATATGTTAAAAACATGTACTGGTACAATATTGAGTCCTCGTTCGGAGAATATGTAGTTCTACTCAAATGTGAGAAAAAGGATTTAAAACTTATTGATAAAGTTTCCTCATCATGGACAAAATTTTACAGGTGGACTTTATAATAAGTTGATAATTTAATTTTATTTTTAATGTTTATGCTATTTGTTCTGCGGACAGCAGAAGCAAAGAAGAACATCTTTTAATGATGCGAAAAAATTATTCAGAATCCCATAACGGCATGGTCAGTAAACAAAAGACAAACTCGGTATTGCAATATTGCCCTCTTTGAAATAATATGTTATTAACCAGATACATTTTCTTCATGTACGACGTCAGTCCGGCAAGGGTGTGGTCAACTTCACAAAATATTTTTTAAAGTAAAATTAATCTTAGCTTGAAGACGGACAGTTTTGCTCCAGTTAGATATAAAATAGCAGTTGTTAACGCAAATAAGAATACTTGGTGTTTTTTTTTCTTAAGTGGATTTGTAATGGAACGAAGTGCACTAATATTTTGCGTCTGATATTTTTGTCTAACTTTCGAGATCATTCCTTTCGTGAAACAAGCACCTGTTTTTAAACTTAGTTTTAGGGGTTTCCCCTTTTTCATAGATACGCTGCCTGCACTTCACCCCAGAGGTGTTTTTGCGGTCTCCGGAATCGGACCCCTTGTAGAGCGGCACAGGCAAAAATTGGGTCACTTTTTTTAACAACTTTCTTTTTAACAACAACTCTCTTGTATATCTTCAAGGTAAGTGAGATACGTTGTTTGCCGTACGGTTGTGTTATTCAAGTACATGTATAGTGCCTCATTTCTGTTGGTACCACATGTTGCAGCTAGCGAATGCCCAAAGGAAGAGATCGATATACGACTCTTAGAGACCATTCCCACAGATATTTAGATCGATCTATCTCCCTGGGGAGTCTCACTAGATTGTTGTCAGCCTGACCGGCTTAAATGTCTGTCCCGCTTACTAACAGCTGTTAGGGGGTTATTAACTTTTGTGCGCGCTCGGCTCCCGGAACCTGACAGCAATTTAGCGTGAACCCCCAGGGAGTTAAGTCGATCCAGAAGGATCGATTTAAATCTGTGGGAACCCAGTCTTATACCACGCCAGCATGAAAAACCTGACTGATGCATCTTTATGTTACTGAAAAAAAAATACACGTATATTCACCGTTATGACTACGCACGTGAACCTTAAGAGCAACAGCGAAGCAAAAAAGTAAAATTTTTAATTCGATTCAATTAAAAAACAAAGATTAGAAAGACGGCGATGGGCGTGACGATCTTCGTAATCTCACGGATTACAACTGCAAGTCTTATGAGGGCAACCGCAGTGGAGATTTAATAATGATACGCAACAGACCAACTACTTGATAACTTGAATGAGTCATACAAATAGAACGTTCGGTAGTCCAAGGTTATACTAACAAATAACCAGCCACGTATAATCGTGAATGCATAACAAAGGCCCTGATGACTCATAGGGGCCCATAGTAAAAAATAACTGGCCTTGATTTTTATTCACTAGAGTTCGAGAATCATTTAAAAATTGACAAAAAAAGGTTTGTTTTGGAATTTGATAGTTAAAACTAAATCATCGTAGCATACTATTCCGTTTTATAGCATAAATCAGTACCAATATCAGTTCAAGCCGATGGCCTAATCCCAAGGCTCAAGTTACACTATCTCCGTGTGCCGTGTGATAAAGACTGGATAAAGCCGTATACAATTTTTTATGATTATTTCGGCACCCTCAGTGGATACGGTCTACGAGCTACGACGTGTGTGTTTACATTACACACGATTCGATCGCGCCATTGAATGATCGTACATGACCTTAGAGTCAGTTTGGAAGAAACCTGTTCGTGGGCTTAAGAATGACGGAACCCTTTCATTTTTTTCAGTTCGGCTTACGTGTTTAATTTTGTTATACTTTCACCGCCATACATGTACCACCTTGATGTGAACCGAAAATCTTGTTTTGCTGCACGATAGGCGCAAGGCCTTCGAATAATGCTCCCAAACTGCGCATTTATTGTGGACATACACCATAAATAATCATTGGCAATTTACAAAAGATTTACATTTGTGGTTGTAAAATGAACATCAGAAATATAGATGTGGACTTTTCATCAGCTTTGTGTCATAGTGAAAGTTTTGATAACGCATTGATTTCTGTTAATCAGTGGCATAAATTTTCACGTGCACGTAGTTTGCTATTGGTTTTCTGTAAGTCTAAGCTTTATTTCAGTGAATCGCAGCCCATACGTTTGAAAGTGACCGTCAGCTAACGAAATCACTAAATGGAGAACAGAAAAAGGTAGGCCCATTTGTGAAGTAAGTCAATGCTATGGAAATCACGTTTTCGGTTGCTTTTAATGTGACTATCGTAACCCTTTTCTTTATAAAGTGTACCTTGTTACCATGAATTTAACATGGAATTTATAAAGGTAAGTACAGTCGTATGATTTTAGTAACATAGTAGACCCTATTTATTTGAGTTTAAATTTTGTGAAATAACTTAAGAAGCCTTTCCGCTTCCTAAAATTTTTATTATTTCAATATGAAAAGGTCATAAAACGTAACCAGCAAAATACCGGTATTAATAAGTAATTAAAATCTAGCAGCAACATACAACAATTAGGCCTAGTACACGTATGAGGTGACTTGTTTCTTGTAATTTCAGATAAAAAATAAAAATAAACAGAACAAAAAAAGACAAGAACATAGTCAAAATAGAAAATAAAAATATTACATATCATCTTTTCATGTAATTTACAGGCCCAGCTTGACAGCCGATCACTACGATGTATTCTTAGCGCACAGCTTTAAGGACCAATATGCAGTGGAACAGACGCTGCAGATGCTAGAAGAACGTGGGCTTAACTGCTGTTATTCTAGGCGAGATTTTTTGCCAGGGTATTCCACCATTGCCTGCATCGAAGACGCCGTACTCGCCGCCAGGTTCACTCTGGTGTTCGTCTCTAGGGAATTCCTCACGAGCCCCTGGTGTCAGCGCGAGCGCCAAATAGCGGAGGAAAAAGCTGCCGAGACGAGTGATGTAGTTGTGATACCGATTCTTGTCGACGTCCACAAAAAGGAACTGCCCATTAGTTTCAAAGCGCTGACCTACGTCGAGATGGCGGACCCCGGTGCGTTCATCAAACTTTGCCTGCGCTTAGGGGGTAAGAAAATATTTTACTGGGTAGCTGTATTTTAATGCCATGCGCTTTTGCGGTATTTCACATAAACTCCCTGAGATGAGCTGCAGAAAAAAAAACAGCTTTCTCTTTAAGCCCAGTCATTAAAAGTTGGCAGAAATAAATAAAGTTAGAAATGCCCAATAATAGTAAATTGGATATTGGATATTGTCAAATGGCATAATGTTGAATACTAAAAAAAACACAGTAAAAAGGAGGATATAGTTTGCTGTTTACAAATTCTTAATAAACATCGTATGATTTTAGTGCCAGATTTGCCCCTTCGCCCCACATACAAGCAGCTTGAGGACCAAATCACAGAGCTGAAGACCGAAGTACGTTATCTCTCCGACAACGCTCAGCATCATCAGCGGCTCTACGATACTCTTCAGTGTCGTCTTCAAGACTCAAACATGATGGTAAAACGCCTACAGAGAGAGCTGCATAATCTACGCAAAGTTATTAAACAACTGTCAAATCCGCATCACACACCAAAGCTAACCGACAAGCCAAAGATCCAGAAAAACGAAAGTGAAAGTGATGTTGCTAACGTCGAAGAAATGAGTCAACCGAAAGAGCAACGGGTGCCCTGTGGAACGTATGAACAAGTCTCCTGTGAAGTTGAAATAAACACTCCAAACTTTTTCTTTGCACCATATCAGCAGATGGACAGGACCAACGTGGATGCTCTCCTCGCAGCCTTCATGAATGCCAAACATCTTGGTGATAAGGCCATGGAAGAAAACCAATCGGCCATCGCCGTGCAATTTTACGGAAAGGCCCGAGAGATGCAACAGAAAATCCCTGACATGATCGAGAAACGCGACACCTGCAATCTGCTGATCAGTCTTGGCATTGCTTGTGTTGAGACAGAGTGGTACCCGGCTGCTTTAGACAGCTTCTCTACCGCAATTTGTCAGCTTGAACGTGATCATGTCTATGGTAAAAGATCTTCCAGCCAAAAGATATCGGCCTGCCATCATTATTGTGCGTTAGTGCTGAAAAGAATCAAGCGACCTCATCAGGCACTCCAGCATTACGAGAAGGCACTTGCAATTGAGAGAAACCTACGCGGTCCAGATACACGCGAAATCGTCGCCCACACGCTCCTGTGCCTTGGTGAAAACTACCTCGAGGTCAACAAAGAGGAAGAGGGGCAAGTAGTGCTGCAAGAGGCTTGTCAGATAGAAAGGTCGCTACACCGCCGAAGCCACAGTCACATAAAAAGGGTGGCCAAAGTACTTTCTGTATCTTCGAACCGTCGTGCAAACCGGAAGATGTAACGCTTGATTATTAATTGATGATATACCCGGAACCCGATTTTAGCCGCTGTGACTGCATATATATTATTGGTCATATAGATGTGGCTACATTGTAAAGAAAGTATGTTCAATGTCTTGACGATAATCTTAGTCATAATGATCAATATTTAGTCAAATAACTTTTTAATACTTGAATAACGGTTGTCCGTACACTGTCTATATGTTGAATAACGGTTGTCCGTACACTGTCTATATGTTGACCAAACAGTGATATTCCAGAGTGTAAAAGATTTCACCCTCCAACGTATGTATCGCCACAACCTGGACGAAGTCAAGAATTCTTACGGAGAAAGAGGGACGGCTATGTAACCATGGAATGTCAGCTGAAATCTCACATATCAGGCCCGTAGCCAGGGGGGGTTCGGGGGGTTCGAAAGAACCACCCCTTTTGGTGGGAAAAGGTCCACCCTGGGTAAAATTTGATCTAGGTTCATGAAGTCTTTATAGGAAAAGGTCCACTTTTTCAGAAAAAAGAACCCCCCTTGCTGGCTACGGGCCTGTATATCACTTTTTGTTCAATTACTCGAGTCAATGCCTATTTCTCTAGTGCAAAGGGGCGGTGCAAAGGTCCAGCAAACGATCTAGATAATATCTTGCGTATTTGATTCTTGTATAAGATATATTAGATATGTAATAAACATGTGCATTATATAATTTATATGACATGTAATGTTCAGGGCACTCTGCACTAGGTTAACCCCCCAAAATTTATGTTCTTGGGGGAGGGGGGAGAAGCAGTTTTCTCTTATTCACAAATCTTTGCTCGACCCGACCCTGCACTAGGGTTTGATGTGTCATTATTTTTGGTTTAACAATTTAGAACGACGCCTTTCCCGTCCCTAGTTTTCATTATCTAAAACAAGAAAATGGGGCGTTGTTTTGTATCGCTGCCCTAGGCATGTGTCGTGTATAATACAGGCGTTGCAAACCATCATGGCTATCTGACAAAACAATAACGACACCATATAAGTACGCGTCAGACAAAAAAAAGTTTTATTAATTAAGGGGATTCTATGTGATAAAGAAAATATAAGAAACTTAGGATAAGAATATGACTGTTGGGGATTTGTAAACGCGCGCAGAGTACCTTTGATGTTTCCCTGAAAATGATATATATTTTTTATAATCATGTGCTTGTAATTTGCCACTAAAATGTGTGGTGAATAAATTTACTAACCAACTAAGAACTGTACGTTGTTATTAACAGTAAAGCGTAGGTCGTTATTTTTCGTTAAAACATCAAGTATTGATGGACTAATGACATCTTTTACTGTATGAGACGCAGATTATCAGGTATAACTGGATTACATTTTTTTTTCATATGCTAGAAAATATTTTGTTTTCGAAATTACGGGCAAACAAAAGGTAAACGGGTTTGTTAAGGGAAAGGAGAGGGGACTCAAAGATTGAAAAAATAATAATTAACGTATTGCTATGTTTGGTGCATATATAAACGCAACTGCCGGGATATATATATACATATTAAGAGCAATTTTACGAGGGTGGGCCTATATATGTCATTTGCTTGCCTACATTGTGTCGTTTCTCTCTGTAGTACTTTGTCATGTTATTTAATTCTTTCTTCAGGGAGGGACCAGAAAGCTGAATAAAGGGAGTGGCACGTGCCCCCCTCCCCCCACGCCCCCAGTGCGTTTCTCCTAGCTCTGGTCTCTGGTCCCTGCTAAACGGACCATGCAGGAAGAAAAAAAATGCAAATTGCATTAGATGCGATACCATGCAACTATGCATAATCTCAACAGGAGGCGACCTCTATATGCAACTTTAAGAAGTCCCCGTTAGCAGGTCACGGTCTAGATGTTGACATAACTCTGCTGACACATAATCGAAAGAATGTTGCATCGGTGACGAAAGCGTGATCGGCAGTGTCAGTTCCACATAACAAAAATTACGAACAGCAAAACAATGTGGAATTTGTTATCAGCTGCCTTGTTAATGACAGCAGTTTGGCCGTCCAAAGTTGTCGAAGCTAAGCAGGAAAATCGTCGCAATGCACCGCACAATTTTGGCGAAATTCTCCAGCGAATACACGAACTCAGAGCTCAGTCTGAGCAAGAATTTCCCAAGCATATTCTCACAAGTTCTTATCATTCCAGCGGACTTGATATACAGATGCTAGCAGCGTTGCTGGATCGCGTTAAGCAGCTACAAGCGGGGTCTTTGGACGTCAACGTCTCCGAGATATGCCTAAACAGAACCGAGCACTATCTCGGCGGACTGATGAACCGGCAGTACTGGGCATTGCAAAGTGAGTAAATATGATAAATATTATCTCTAAACATAGTGTTGGAAAAGAGGTTGACATTGAAGAAGAACTGAGAAATTCGCAGCTACATTTGGATGATTTAATTTATCGGTGCTGACTAATCGTATCATTATGGCACGTACATGTACAATAAAAAACGTTTGTCTGGCCTACATTTCAAGTTCAGTTTAAGGTCGTAGTCTGCTGCGTTGAGAGTTGCTAGGTAGTGAAGTGAATAATGGCTGCATATAGGTCATTGATCTGGATCAACCTAGGGATCTTGAATAATGAATAAGATTAAGCCGAAAATTGGGTCTTAAATTTTCTGACCAAAATATTTGTCTACTTATTTTACCAAAGATGCTGTATGTAAAGTAGATAGAAAGAGACAGTTTAATTGCAGGCTGAAATACATCTTTGTGTTTTTTCCTCTATTAAATTGAAGGCAGTCAGAAGAATGCATGGAGATCTTCCTCACATTCAAAGTCATTTTACCTGCTTTTCACATTCTTCTAATGAAGTTTTGTTCCATCCTTTCTTTCAGTGTTCGATGCCACAGCGAAGTTGCCAAGTGGAATAATGGATGGAAAAATCACTTTGCTTGGGTCTTACAGTGAATGTACAAGAGCAAAAGGATATGTCCAGTATAATGTGACTACTGGCCAGAGTAACGCTACCTTGGTCACTGACAAGTTTAGTGGTCAGTACTGCCTTGCCTCAATCCCCATACCGTGGAGCAATACTACTTTAACTGCTCAGGTATGTTAGAGTAATGACATTTTGAAATACTTGTAATTAGTGTTTTATATTTATATTAGCAGAATAAATAAATACATAATGAGAATAAATACTATTATTATTATTATTGTTGTGTTTGTTGTTTTTGCTGTTGTTGTTTGATAAAATGCCTGAGAAACTGTGAATGATTAAATCATAATTTGACAATGATTCTCTTGTGGTCAGGATTATAAATTCACAGCAGAGAACATCTAATACTGTCATTTAGATAGTTCATTGAAAGTTGATATTGTTTTGAAAAAATTATTATTATTATTATATTTATTTTTAGGGTCAAAAAATTGAATTGCGCATAGGGGTGTGTCTTCCTGGAGGATGTAATGAACAAGATGCCAAAGGACTAGTAAACACATGTGAGTTGCCATTATTTTTTTGAAACAGTTAAAAAATATTTAAAGAAAATTATTTCATTTTTGAATGACTGAAAAAGAAAGATTTAAGATGCTTGATAATTTGTTTGAAGATTTCTATTAATAGGACTGTTAAGTTCTTCAAGAAGTAAAAACATATATAATTAAGATTCCAAAATAATTTTTCTTAACTTGCCTGTCATCTGTTGGTAATCATTTGAGTCACTGATGTGTGTGTGTGTGTTCGTGTGTTTGTGTTCGTGATATTGCATTTCACTTTTCTTTCCACTTTATTTCAGTGTTGTCAGTATTAAGATTGAATACAACAGGGGTATCGTCTGCCACGTGTCCTAGGCAAGATGTTCCTTGGAGCACCGGAGCTATAGCTGTTATGTGAGTGATGTACTGGGCAAGATTAGAAGTATACCATTTATCACTTTTCACAGGTCTAGGATTATTATATAACTAGGATTATTATATAACTAGGATTATTATATAACGCAGTGCCCTCCAAGATAACATCAAGAGTTGCAACTTTGCTGTCATCAGAGATTGTTGTCTGAGTGATGATTATGTTCTTGGTCAAAGAAACATTGATGTCTTTGATGTCATCATGAAGAATTATTTTTGATGTTGATGTCATTGTTTGATGTCACTCGTACGTTTTTTTTTTTTTTTTTTTTTTTTTTTTTTTTTCAGAATTTTCAGCATTTATGGTCTTGTCTATTTTAGTCTCATTATTTTGTAATTTTTTTCCTTTCAGGTGTTTCGTTGGTTTTCTTGTTCTTCTTGTTGCCATGGGAACAGTCTATGACATTTATGTTCAGCATGCGATGACCCAGTTTAATACTGTGCAGATTAGGGTCCCCTACGAAACTGTGAATAACAGCGCTGGCAACACAGGAGAGCATGCGTTACGAGTTGGTGAATATGCGCCCATACATGACCAGGCCCAGTATCCCACTGTTGTCAATAAATCTTTATCACCACCAAGTTATAGGGGTTAGTATAGGCTGATTTAGTTGTAAAATTTGCTTTAACACTATCTTGGAAGCAGGTGTTTTGATTACAAACTATTACCTATTGTATGCCCTCTAGGAAGCAAATGTTACCCCCCCTCTGGGGTACGTAGCGCTAGCAATTTTTTTCGCTTAGCCAAATCACCACATTTTTGTCAATTTGTTATCAAAATGGTTATAATTTGGCTAAAACGTCAAATCTAGCCCTTTTTCTTTAGCCAGTTTCAGTCAGTTTTAGCATTTAGCTAAATTGGCGAGTGTTAGCGCTACCCCAGCCCCTTTTCATTGACATCCCTTTGATCACTTTATCCAGAGTTTACTAGTTAAAGCCATGCTGTTTATAAAATAAGATAAGAATTTATTCAGTCAATACATATTTATTAGTATTGATAATTCATTTTTACACAGATGTACATTCTTATTATCATTTTTTATATTTCATTTCAGGCACAATTCATAAAATTATCATAGCTTTTTCTATGTACACCAACGGTGCAAAAGTTCTGAACACCAAGCAAGGCAGTGGCGCTCTCACTTGTGTCAATGGAATTCGATTTCTAAGTCTCTCCTGGGTTATTTGGGGACACACCTATGCTTTCATAGTGTTTTTTGTTGGTAGGTTTTGGTAGGTTTTCATAATAGTTTTTAAGATGATTATGAAATGATTATTGAACCAGTATCTATGTTAAGTTTAATGTGTATTTTTCTTATGTGAATGCAAGTTTGTAATGGAAATTTTACATTTGATGCTAGTTATAATTTTTTTTCTTTTATGGGGGGGGAGGGGGGTTGATTGCTGTTATGTGATGTGAGGTATCAACGGCGAGCAAATGTTTGGACTCTTTTTTTTATAAAATATCCTTCAGACCTGCTTAAGTGTGTTCCACATGCAGTTACTGTACAAATATTGCACATGTACTTCTCTGCAACATGGGTTCCAGGGTAACTTGATATTTGTCCACTACTACTATTCTGCTACTGCCCACTGCAAGCTTTTCTTAATATATGCACACATAACTTCTATGCTCTATGTCACTTAAAACATTTGCTAACATGGGCATCCATCACATTACTGCACTTGTAAGGATATATGACTGATGGATAGAAAATTAGTAGTTGCAGAAAACATCTAATTATAACTTTCAATTAATTTATTATATTCTCTCAGCTTTGATCTGCAGGTATATTTGTTGGACATATTTTTTTAGGTACACATACAATGTGTTTACCTTTAACATCATACTAGTGTACTTACTTTAGCTGTCTTGACTTTTTCTTCAATAACTTTTGGAAATTGTTTTCAGATAATCTAGCACCTGTTTACCAGGACCTGACAAAACGTTGGACAATGCAGGTCCTATTGCAGGGTACCTTCTCTGTGGACACCTTCTTTGTCTTAAGGCAAGTAGACTGATCATCAGTATAATCCTCTTGATGGTTCAGATACAGGGTTGCCATGTCTACACACTAACACATTCTCTTGGATATCTATATGTGTCTACAGGGTTGTATGTACTGTTTTGACTGTTTCATTTACATTGCAGTGGGTTACACAGAGGAGCAGAAGTGCTTTCCCTAAACCTAAATTGATTATGGGTCAGACAGCTCGTTTAAGTGAAAATTAAAAGTTTGGTGATGATTGAAATTGAAGTTTATGGAAATTAAGTTTTATGTTTGACTTATCGATATATGCGTTATGAATTTTCAAGAGTTATTTGGTAACACCTTATGTTTGTTTGACCCCCCCACCACACACACACACGCACGCACGCACGCACACACGCACGCACACACACACACACACACGCACGCACACACACACACACACACATGCATGTCAAGTTTATGCGCTATAAAATACATGTGGATAAAGGTGAGAGTAAAAATGAGTAATGCAGTAAACTTTACTAATAATTTATTTTTTCAGTGGTCTTCTTGTCACATACCTAACACTGAGAGAGATGAAGAAGGGGAGTGGTAGTTTCAGGATTAACTGGGGACTATATTATTTCCACAGATTCTGGAGGTAAAACTGTGACATAATTCTGTGCACAGGGCACCAATGATTCATGAAGAAACAAATAACCATAATGAGAATAAAAAATGATGAAATGCGTTAGTTGTGAATCCATGAAAATGAACCAGTCTCAACCAACACATTGCTGTTTATTCCTTCAGGTTGACTCCCCCTTACATGTTGGTGTTGATGGTGTATGCAGTGACCACCAAATACTGGGCAACTGGACCATTGTGGCCAGAACAGGGAGCAATGGATCAGTTCTGTAATGAAACGTGGTGGACAAATCTTCTATATGTAAACAATTTTGTACAAATGGATAAAATGGTAAGCTATGCTGCCGCAACATGCACATCTTTATGAACGCTAGATATGTACATTTGTGAGATTTTCTTTAAAATTTTTATCAAGTGACAGTGTTGTGACGTTGTTCAATTTACTATTTGAACTTTTCATGAAAACATTTTGCCTCAAATGAATGCAAGCCAGACTTCTTTTATGTATACCTATGCCATATATTATTATATATTAGTCTGAATAATCAATACAGTTACTGTGAACAGGTACTTCTTGTAGCTCTTAACCAGATGGGTCCACAGTTTGCAGTCATAGAAGTCGGGGCATAGATTGTTTTTATGATATACTGTGAACCTTGCAACTCTTTTTTTTTAGTTTACATTATTTAGCCAATTTTTTATTATGCATATAGCTACATATGTATTGGCTGGCTCATAAATACCTCAAGGTTTTGTGTTGGGTAGTTAAAAGTTAAAACTTTATATTAAGAAAGCTGAAGGTTTTACAAAAATATACACTCCTGCTAATACAGATCTTCACATTCATAATGAATAAAAAATTAAACCATGCTTCTCTAAAAAGTGAAACTTCATTTAAATGCTTTTTATGGTTTTATTTTTTGGGTGTTTAAAATGTGCTTGATAGATTGCTTTCTGATTAGTGAAGGTTTAAATTGTTGCCTTTGATTTCTTCTAGTGCATGGGTTGGTCCTGGTACCTCTCCAATGACATGCAGTTCTATGTTGTTAGTCCTCTGATTCTTATTCCTCTCTTTTGGTAAGTCAGTGGCAAGTCATTTACATTTATGTATTTGAATTTTGACAGGCTGGGTTGCTGGGCAATTTTAGATTTAACTTTCACACAATTTGTTACCTTGTAGCTGTCTCTCTCTCTCTCACACACAATAACATGCACTCCCCCCCCCCACACACACACACACACACACACACACTTTCTTGGGTAATGTGTCAGCTGTATTAAAGGATTTATAAACTTTTATCACATACAAGTAATGTGAACAAGATGAGTAATCCAATACTTTATTTCTTTCATGCCCCCCAAAAATGTAGGCATATAGTTGCAGGTGGGGCTATGTTGCTGTACTTCTTGTTGGCATGCTTGATATATACAGGGGTGATGTGCTCCATTCACAATTTTGGACCAGGATTGGCAACTCAGAGTGATCAGTAAGTCCATGTAGCTTCAAGGGTGCATTCAGTTGCAGTTGATCCAAGGACTAGCTAGTCTGCGGATCAAATATGGTGCCACTCACTTGAAAACATGCATTTAACTGCTCTGCTTCTGCTGGGGTGGCGAGCATGGGAGGCAGGAATCCATTGTCCAGTGTACGCCAAATTTAATCCAGGGACTAGTTAGTCTGCAGATCGACCAGTTCTGACTGCACCCTATGTATTTGATGACTGACACTCAGACAGTCTTGTCTTAAAATTTTGATTTCAAAGAAATGGAACACAGTAATAGTGATTTGGGCTTAAACACTTTCTTTTTGACAATAAACAGTAGGGCCTTTGTATCTTGACATCAGCTATTACATGAGACTGAAATTAGTATCAATTGACAAAATACACATTCATGATTTAATTTTTATCAGATCAGAGGCACTCTACGTAGTCTTTAAATAAAATTGTAATTTCCACTTGCAGGCTGACCTACTTTGATTTAGTTTACATCAAGCCCTATGCCAGAATAGGGCCCTATCTTATGGGCATGGTTGTAGGTTATGTGCTGTACCTCACGGAGTGCAAGCCTAAGATGAACAAGGTGAGTGTGTATGGTAACTCATGTCATCACTGACCATCTATTAAACACATATAATCATGTCAACCCTCATCATTTTCTTTGATCACATATTTTTTTATAAGTTGCATCATTTTCCCTTGAAGTTTCATTATTTTATATCTTTTTTTTTAATAGAATTTTTAATATCTTCTAGATGATAGCCTTGGGAGGATGGGTTGTGGCCACAGCATGTGCCTTAGCAGTCGTCTACGGTGTATATGATGTATACCAGGGTCACCCGCTGAGCAACGATGTTGGCGCATTTTACAATACAATGTCAAGAACGGTGTGGGGCGCATGTGTTGGTTGGGTTATATATGCCTGCTGTACTGGATATGGAGGTGAGCATATTTTTAATTTACGTCCCCATTTTGAGTCAAGTGTGCATGTCACTTGATGCCACAAGAATGGCCACAGGGATTTGAATAGTTTTGTTCTGACAGAGAGAGCTAAGTGGCCTAAGATACGTAATGTAGATTCACAGTGTCATGGATTATAGATTGAAGTAATGGGTTGGTCTTGTGACACAGTTATGATGAAGAAGGACCTCGCCATGGTCTCATTTCAGTTAGTATGCACTTAATTAAGGATTGATACGCTTTAAAGGCCTACATTTGGGAGCATAGCTTCTTCCCTGCTTCCTTTTTTTTAAGGAAAAAAATACTAACATATTGCAGCAAATATTTGTTAAACATTAAATTTAGTCACTTTTTAAACACCATACTTGTTTTTATTAACATACGTAAATTATTATTTTAGGGTTTGTGAACACACTGCTGTCTTGGGGTGCTTTTGTCCCTTTGGGTCGACTGACATACTGTGCATATCTAATTCATCCCATCATCATGTTTGTTGTTTACTCTGTTCGAGAAAGACTGATATTTGTGACAGATGTGTCAGCGGTGAGAAATTTATGATATCAAAGTATTCACTTTAAGAATTTAATTCAAACCAAAATTACTTAATATTACCTTGGTCTGTCTGAATTAAGTACTACCAGTAGTAATTATGTGCATATACAGAAGTTTATTAATGATTTGACTTTTCTATTAAAAGTTAATTATTGATGATAAGTAACTATTTAGAAAGTAATTTATTTGTAAACTTAAGAGTATTTTATACTTGTGTGTTTTTTAAAATTCTCAAAGTTAATCAACTATCAAAAATAATGGGAATAACATTCTGTCAGTATAGTCTAGTAAATTTTAAAATAAACAAATGCATTTAATATATTTCATATTCCCAGAAACATTTGCATATTAATGTTTTGAAACGTACTTAAGTATACACATCCATTTGAACTAGGATCATAAGATAGTAGAATTACAGAAAACCCCTCCGTGTTGCAGGCCAATCTCCAATCTGAAATATTTCTACTAATGTGTTCACAGCATGGCTATTGGGCTATTATTGCATACATGACCAGCTAATTTTTCTTTTTTTTTCTTTTCAGACTTACTTCTTTTTTGGTCACATGGTGATGACATATGGTTGTGCATTTGTTGTGTCCATGGTCTTTGAGGCACCAATGATGGGTTTGGAGAAAGCTATATTAAACAGAGATAAATCAGTTTAGATTGACAGGAGAGTCATATGACTGTAAGCTGCTGCCATCAACGATCATCTTAGACGGCGTTCAGATTCAAACATTGTACCAGCAGGATGGATCCATTTCTGTGGGGATTTTGGCTAAATTGCATTCAGTGTAATCAGTTTAATTGTCTGAAACATTTCCTTGAAAAGCTAGGGGGTAATTAACTTTCATGTGAGCTCAGCTTAATTACCTCCTAACAGCTCGCTTAGGTGTGTGAGACATTTAAGCTGATGACAGTAATTGCACTTTTGGAGAATCTCCCACAGAGTTGGATCAATCCAGCTAATATGATGGGGTTTTTGAATGCTCCCTTATTTTGCTCATAATGATGTAGCTTCAATTAGCTTTAATAATTTGATGGATGTTGCATTTTATGTTACTGTTAAAGGAGACATATATCTTTTCATTGTTATCTTTTTAGTCTTATGCATATCTATGAAGTGTGGAACGCTATCTTGTTATTAACCAAATTTCAATCAATGACATATCACTGAAGTCTTATGGCGCATTTAGAACGAGTTGATTAATGTGGCAGCCACATTTCATCCACAATTCTGTTAGTACGTGTATCAACTTTGGTTGTGAATACAGTTTTACATGTATGACTATGGTAATTCCATGATAAACACTTTGTCAATTATAAGCATGGATGTCTATATATAGAGCTTCGGCACAGCTAGTGGCAGCACAAAAAACTGCCATTAATTTATATGTTAACTGATTTATTATTATTTTCATTAAATGAATACCCTGGGTTACAATTCTCAGAAGACAAAATAACCTGTACTTATCTATTACTTGTTGAAAGCATCAGCTGAAGTTTACATTGGTCTCTGGAAAAGCAAGACAACCTTCAGATAGGACAAAACTCAGGATGCAAGTTATCGTACTCGATTCCTAATCTGTCTCTAGGCATTCACAAGCCTGAATGTTTATTTTTAATGAACTTTTGGTTTTGTATACCTCATCAGGAATAACACTGCCTAACCTTACATGCCTTATGATCAGGAATCATTTTGTTTTGATTGACTGATACTTCTACTCATTCCATGGGAACCCATTTACATTTTTACCATTATAAACTAAAATAGCTTATAAACCACCTTTAACAAAGACACTAGACGTCACTGCTGGGCAAGACCAATAGGAGCTATTGTTCCCAGACTGTAGTTCATAAAGTTATTTAAATGTTAGCTGAAGTGCTTTATATATATTTATGTAAGATTGAAGTTTTATGTTTGAGTGTTTCTCAAAGTACAAAACTTTTAATGTTATTTTATATACAGAATCATGATGATATGCATTTACAGCTTTTAGTATTTATATGATATTTTAGATAATTACTTTAAGCTTTTTTATATTTGCTAGGTATGATCGTTGTTTCTTCTGGTTGTGAAATGCTACTACCCATCAAGACAGAAAAGCAAGCAAAATGTGCAAGAATTGCTTTTGTTTATAAAATCATTGGTTTTATGGCTTTTTACAAAATAGAAAAAACGACGATTTACAACCTCACATTGGTATTCATTATATATGCATACATATAAAGGGTGGAGCGCTAGCTATCGTAAAAATAGCTTATACAATGACTAAAATATTGTGTTATATTCATCTAGTCAATTTTGAGAGTACTTTATTTTTAGGGTTTTAGACCGTTATCAAATTTGTTTGATACAAATCTGTCTCTTATTCATGCATTTGTTTGTTTGTTTTTTTCCTTCAAATTTCAAGTCTTTGTTGTACTTTGGAGGGTGGGGGAGATAAATCGTTATGTACCAGCGTGTATGTTGGCTTGTTATTGCCTCTTCTTTTAAACAGATTTTCAATCTGCAATAAGCTGAAATAAAGGCTTGTCGCACATACACTTTTACTTTTTCTTTTTTTGAATTAATGTCTGTAGCGATTAATTCAAAAAAAAGTAAAAGTGTATATGAGAAAGTGTATGGAGAAACGAATTTTACTCCTTTTTTCTTTCTTCTTTTTGTTGGGGGTGGGGTAGATACTTTAAATAATAAACTTGAAGAAACAAAAACTTTTCCTGCTTTAGACCAAACTTTGTTTATTAGATTTTCGACAATGATTTCCATTAACCACGCTCAATGAACTGAAGCTGTTTTCATAACGGCTGGAATCGCTTTTATCATCTGATTTGTATTAACTTCAGTTTTATCTTAGATCTCCAAATACGTCCATTCAAAATAAATCATTGTTTAGATCTATATTGTGACGGCGTCTGGAATAAACGTGGGTTCCGTCTCTAGCGTTCCGTACAAAAGTTGACGTACATCAGCGCGTTGTCTCCAGGTTAAAATATGCCGAATAACAGGACGGGCAGTATCGAAGCACTTCATAATGAACTTTGTAGACACCCTGTATTCCATGTAAAACTTGCGGCTCGCCAAGCCCTGTGTGATTCCGTCGTAACGTGTCTTCTTCCTGAAAGTCTGTAAAAGAAAAACAAACCCGGATTTCATAGTCCTAACTTGTATACCCTCGCGAAGTGCCGCTCGAAAATAATCACGCGTTATTTCAAATTTCCCAGAATCGCTGTAATCCGTTTGTGTGGTGTCACGAGTTGTGTTTACGGTGACGGCATTACACTGAATCCGGTTGGAGTTGTACAACATTGTCGCTGAATGTATCACGAACCACTGGGAAAACCACCAGGAATATCGGTCCAGGCGATCGATGTAGGGCAGCAAAAATGACAACGTGTGGCGGTGAAATGCATTGACAATCCCATCGAACTTGTAATTGATGTTCACTGGGGACGATACGTTTATATAATTTGTCCTAAAATGAGGATAGCCAACAGCTGGTTCGAAGTCCAACAGAAACAGTTCAAAACGGTCGAATGGATTGTCCGGCAAGTCGGCTCTCCAAGTTCGTTTTTTATCATAATTAACCGAAAGTTCCGCGTCACCATCCATGAAAATGTAGTAAAGGTACCCTCCATCTTCCCTTATCGCTGACCTACCGATTGCTTCGCTCAGCAGCCTGTTTCGACCCTCAGTCCAACTGCAATTTGGAAAGAAAATATCCCCAGAAGCTTTTTTACGCGTCAACCAAATAATATCTCGATCCTGGGTCACTTGGAGGTAATTTATTGAATGAGTTTCGGGTCCCTGGATAAGATAAACGAAGCGGGCTGCCCGTGGTGTTTCACTTTGACCATTCACGTGAGCAATTTTCAAATATTTTACCTCAGTGCCTTTTCTTTTGCTTGGCCCAAAGTCTTGCGCATATTCTCTCTCATCCTCTGTGCTTTCCCTTGATCTGACGACATATTTTAATTCAGCCGTTTTGCTTGCTGAGTTTCTTTCTTTCCCTGCAGCAATGGGCACGTGGTCGACGGAAGCACGTTGCATCGTAACCATAGTAACCGCAATGGGAAGGGCAACAAGCAGCGTCTTTGCTAAACGAGCAAGAGTTAACCTGGAGAACGCTCTGAGAAACGCCATGTTTGGGCGTGTAAGAAAGTACAGCTGATGTGAGTCGAGGAAGAGCAGAGAGAGCACCGTGTCCTATGCGTTTGCCAATGAGGTTTTCACCCTGAGAACCGCAGGTCGCTTTCAGGGCTCGCTGTTGTGACAGTGCCACTGGTCTCAGAGTTCCGTTTATGTTCAGAAATGGTAATAGTATTAAATTATCACATTTGTCAATAAAATGTCAATTTATTAGCCCTAATACATTTTTCTTAAAAAAATGTCGATTGAAACCATAGACGACCGCAATATATAATTAGCTCTATCTCGTTCCCGACATAAAAAGATTTTTTTGGATTTCGACAAAAAAAAAAAGCATCACGTGTAGCTTTTTTTGAAAAAATGCTGCCTTGGTAATCAAAATCTTTCGTAAACTTTTCCTACCTGTCTAGTAAGCATTGGCTTGACATATCGTCAATATCTTGAAACCCAGGGTATCAATTTCTTCGCCCTTTGCGCATGATCCGTACTTAAAAGTTATCACTGACGATTAATTAACCTACTTTTCATAAAGTCAAGCGTCTCGCTTTCAAACCAGTGTGTCATTGGTTGAAAAATAAGTTGGCAGTTGGGGACGCTTGAGTGGTGTTACTGTTCCTCGTGTCACACCCATCGACATTTGTAGACCCGAGCAGTACGGCCCGGTAGCAGCATCTGGACGGTCTCTAGAATCGCCATGGTGGGCCTCCTCAACTATCGGGCGAGGGGCATCGCCCTTCTGCTTTTGGGTGCCTTTTTGGCCTCAGGAGTGTACGCCGGTGATAAATGTGACGCGCACCAGTATTTCGAAGAGGGCCATGATGTGATTGAAACATGGAGACTCGTACTTGGTAAGTTTTTCGACCGGCGTCATTGCCCGTAATCATTGTCCAGTTCAAAGTGGTGGGCTAGGTTTTTGGGTGTATAAATAGTAAGTATTTAAATTGCCAATGCACGATTTTAACAAAAGGAAAATTGAAGTTGACGCTGAAAGTCCATGAACAACTGAAAATGCAATCAAAATCGGTTTTTATTGCGTATCGCCTTCTGTACCTTGTAATATGGAACTTGACAGTTCACTTTACCTTTAAAAAGTTCATTTCCCGGAATGTTAATATCACCTAGATGAGCTTTTATTCTAAATGCTAAGACCCAACAGAAAAATTGGTGTTAAACAATAGGGGAATAAAGGAACGCTTGAATAATAGAAAACACCAACAAATAAAATAAGAAAAAAATGAAAGCTATAGAATACAAAAGAAATGGATATTGAGAACTAAAAACAGCTTGACGGTTGAAACGGTGTATCCCACAAATGGTACAAAAGCGGGTCGTACCTGAGATGTTTTAAACAAATAATAATAATAATAATAATAATAATAATAATAATAATAATAATAATAATAATAAAATATTAAAAATAAAAACTTCACAAACATGCATATGCCTTATCTGTTATCACGACCGCGGTATTCAATAGTTAGTCAAACTACACCTTACGCAGTTACCTTGCCATGATAGGACATATGTTTCTTTGTTGTGGAATAAATCTTTAAAAAGCACAAGCAAAGATATCTGAAAATGCAAAAATAAGTATGAGTATCGTAATTTTTCACGTAATACAAATAAAAATTTAGTGAGTAGTTTAAAAAAACTTTTACATCATGAACCATTGGTGCTACTCGAGTGTGGTGTTGATAGAGGGGGCATGTTCATATTTCTAGGTACCATCTTCTTCATCGTCGTGCTGCCTTTCATTTTCTTCGAAATCCCGTTCTTCCCCATCGACACCACGGTGGCCGTGATGATTGGCGCCCTCTTCATGGTCGGAACCACTGTCATCACCCAGGAGCACACCTACGAGATTCTGGGAGAGGTTGAAAACCTGAGGACAATCTTTCTGTTGATGGGCATGATGCTGATGGCGCAGTACTTCGAGCGAGAGCTCATCATCAACAAGATCCTGAAGCGGTTTCTCAAGAACAACACAAGCATGTATGGCTATTTGTGGAGAGTGGGACTCATGTGTTTCATATTGTCAGCGCTCTTTACCAACGACGCCGTCTGCCTGATCGTGACCCCCCTCGTGCTCCGACACTGGGCCCAGCAGAAGAGGCAGCACGATGAGCTAGAGACCGTCTTGCTGTGTATTGCTACCAATTCAAATATCGGCAGTTCGATGACCATTTTTGGCAACCCACAAATGGCTCTTATTGCCTCCGTCACCGACTCCCACCCTTACAGCCGCCTGGACCTCCTCACGTGCCTCATGTACATCGGAGTGCCAGCCATAATTGGGTATTTTCTCAACCTGGCCTTCTTACTCATGCACTACAAATATGGCTGTATGACCAAAAGTGCCTCTCCGCCGTTGTTAGGATACGACAGCAACGACCCACTGGACTTCACCATGGGGGATCAGCAAAACACCTTTCTGGAAGAGTCTGGGTCCGTTCTCAGTAATTCGGGGCGAGCGGGAGCGCCTGACCGCATCAAAGAGACTTGCGTCGACGGTCGCGAGAGGAAAAGCAAGGAGAACGCTGGCGCTGACGATGTCAGAGTTTGTACCCCCTCGACAGATACTAAAGAAGAGAAAAAGAATCCAGATGCTTATGGTCCAACTGAATCCTTACCGTTTCATATTTGCCTGTGCCTGACAATGACCCTTGTAGTGGTGCTCTTCATCGCATCCACCAAGGAGGTACCCTTTGACATCGGTAGGTCGCTTTCGTTTTCTCGTTCTCAAAAAATCATTATTTAAAAAAACATAGATTGTAAGCTTGATTTTCTAATCTGAATTTAAAAAAAGAAAAAAAAAAGCTATGTGAAATGCGCTTTCTTTAAACATGGGCGATGTCAGTGCATAAAAGGGAAGGGAGTTTGGATGGGGAGGGGGAGGGGACATAAAAACGGAAAATGTTACACGTAATTTTGCATGCAAAAGAGAGAAAAAACTACGTACAAAATACGTATTTTACTATGTGTCCACTTGCCCTTTTAAATCTTTATTTCATTCGTTATATTTCAGGTTTGGTCCCTATGGCCGGTGCCACCCTGATCATGATCTCCGACGCCATCATCAACAAGCGTAACGCCCTGCAGACAATGAAGAGAATAGACTGGGACGTCCTGGTTCTCTTCTTCGGCTTCTTCGTCTGGCTGGGCGCGTACAACCACACCGGCATACCACGCTGGTTCTGGATGCAGTTGGGCTTGGACCACAACGAGATGAAAAGCTTCGTAGAAATTGTGATCATGGTCAGTTTTGTCATTGTAGGCTCCAATCTGTTCAGTAACGTGCCTCTGTGTATTTTGGTTTTGGCGCAGCTAGATCCGTGCAAGAAGCAGCTGGGGATGGTGCTTTTTCTCGGCTGGGTTTCTACCGTTGCCGGGAACTTAACGCTGTTTGGAAGCGTCGCCAATTTGATAGTTGCTCAAAAGTCTCTGACCACCCTGAAGTTTAGGCTGACATTCTGGGCATACTTGAAATACGGATTCATTACCACGCTGATCATTTGCATTCTAGGCGTGCTCATTATCTACGGACTACTACTGATATGATCATTTTTGCATTACGTTTGTTCTTTGTTATCAAACTTGATAAACACAATACTTGTATATAAAAGTTGATTTATCGTTTATTTAAATGGAATTATTTGCTATTTCAACTATATCTAAACAAATTTATAGTATCTATATATCTGTACATAGTGGACGGAATTTATAAATAAATTTTCCTTTTGGATTCGAGCTTTAAATCGAGCAGTTTCATTGTGTTCTAGTTCTTAGATTGTTTGATAAACACACATAAAATGCTTTTTTGACATTTTGTCCATGAATAAATATTAAGCAAAGATGATATTGATATTTTTTTACTCCCGTCTTTATTTTCTTCATCATTATTATTATTTGTACTCAATATAATTGTTTTCGTTATTTTGAAAATGGAAACCTTTAACTGCGAATCATTTTGCTACTGTGGCACTTCTACAGCCCCCGCGCTTTGTTTCTATGGACTTCTCGTGCTACTGTAACTGGTAATACAGCCACCACCTGGGTTTGTCTCCGTGCGCTTCCGTCGTAACGCAATTTTTATCAGTTAACGAAGTCAAGGGGAAACTTGGTTGCATATCATCTTCAAACTTACAGGTTCTTATAGTACTGAAATGCACCCGAAGTAAAAAAAAAAAAAAAAAAACTACCTGGATTGATTAATTTCGTATGCAAGGATGCCCCATTTTGTAAATTTTTTACTTTTACACAAATTTCCACTATCCAAGTATCTGTTTACGTGGATCGGTGGGTATAAAACCCTGTACATTTATGTTTTATTGGAAGAGTTTTGTACATATGTAGATCTACTACTGCCCTTTTGACAGCACGTGCTACCTTTTTTCCTTTCAATAACAGTAGAATATTTGCTGTCACTTTAATTTCTATCGTGTAATGTTGTAGAGTTCGTCACAAAATCACCCATAGAACTCGGCCTGCATAATTTATTTATTGTACAACTTAGCTGCGCAAAATAGTCTTTTTCCTCATCATGTACTGACGTCACTAGGTGTCGCCAGTGGCCGAGAACTAGCGTTGCGCCAAGGCATTGAAGTTGGGTCTTGACCAACAGTAAAACTTTTGTCCACATTATCTCGTACTACCAACTGGCTACATTTAGAAATCAAGTTAAGAACAACCAAGGGAATTGACCAATTTGAACGAAACACATCACTGACTAATACGACGTCGGGAAAGCGATTTACTAAAAAAAGTAGAATAAATCAATAAGAAAATAACGAAGTTGTGCAAATTAAATTTTTCATGTTTTGTATTATCAACAAATTAAAACAAGACATCGACAATGGTATGGCACAAAAATTTTAATAAAAAATTAAAAGAAACGCATCCAGTGACAACTAGGTAAGATAGACCACGTTGAATTTCTAACATGCCTTTTCGCTACAGCCTACTCGGAAAAAAAGTCTACTAAATATGTTATGTATAAATATACCATTTGGCACTTACGAAGTGGAAAGCGCTGTCTCGGCAAATGTGTATAAACAATTAGATTGACTGTTTTAAAGCGTCACACGACGACCTTTCATTTGTTAAGGAAAAAAAAACAAACATTTTTTTCATAAATTTATTTTATTTTTAGATTTCACTTGCGCCAAGCATTCAAACGAATCAAGTTCCATAAAACAGATAACATAAAGCAACATATTGTAAAGAGCATAGCAATCCATAATCAATCGACCAAACCAAATAGCACTTTGACAGCAATTTTACCGTAAGCATCTACTAATATTACAAATCGGGCCTTTTTTTATTACTATCACGAGTGGTGGATTAAAACAAAGACTGCAATGTGAATAAATGCACAATAGATGTCACCACATGCTGGTGGTTACTATAGAGTCACCAGCCCACGCGCTAGTGGCTACAAGACAAGCTTCCATACCCACAATCATACAACAAATTTAACAAAATCGTCAGCTCAAAATAGAGATATTGAGGATCACAATGCTTATTGCATGGTCACCATAAACAGGCAACAAATCCCGTTATTCTAAACAAATCCAGTTTATGGAAAGACAAACATTCTCAGATACTCGCAAACGATGCACCCATTCTTTAAGCACTGGGCCTTACTGCCATACCCTTAAATTCTGCTATATAAAATAATGGTTATGAGACAATTGATAAAATAACAAGGTATCTTAATTAAGGTGCATAAAATTGACCGTTTTGGGCACACTTACAAGTCTCTTTTGGTTGTTGTTACAATTTTGGGAACGCCATGGAAATAAAGACATTTTAAAGAGCAGTTTCTTTCTTAAAAGTAAGATTTGACTGACACTGACCTTGCTTTTAATATTCCACTTGGGTCATATCAAGCAGAATTTTAATTACAAAAATATATATTTAACCTTAAAACATTTTGGGGAAATAAAAATGGAAGAACCCAAGTCCCAAGAACAACAACAAAAATCGAAATAACCCTATTTATACTTATGCTAGTATCTACTTCAAAACAACTCTGTAATATTAAATATCTAGCATTGTGAATTATTCCAAAAACTAATTTAACTAAACATTTTTTACTCATAATATTTTACACAGGCTAAAAATTCAGCTTTCTTTCCATAAATATGGTGTGAAGCCAAAACAAACTTCATGCCTATGTACTATAAAGTTTAATATAATCTAGGCCCAAATTATTGGCAGCGCTCTCACATAATAATATATGGTCCCTTCATGTAAACTAGTGCTACCTATCATACCGTTTTCTGGATGTGACAACTAATGGACTCTACGTGTTGCACTAAACAATGTATTTATTTATGATACTGCACTCAACAATTGGTCCCTTTCGCACATCATTACAAACTGTAGGCATTATTAACACTTTAAAATGCATTAACGATAATCTTTAAATACATATATAATGGAATGGGCAATCACTTTGCTATATGGAATACACTGGCTTAAAATATCTGCCAAATAAATTAATAAGAATTAGTTCAGTATTAAATCATTTATATAATATACGATAGCTTTATACTAATAGTCATACATTAAATACTCATATTGAGATGGAAAGAACTAAAGGATGACCCCTTTAATCTTGGGTTATTTATCAGTCCCTAGACCACTCAAGAAAGGATGGAAGAAGGGTGAGGTTCTATCAATAGTTCAACCATCATTTTCCACCCCTTAAAATTAAATACTTTTGGCTTGTTGATCTACATTTACAGTTTACTCAACACGTTTTGCACATGTTTTGTCTCCATACTCTGCACACAGCACTGCTAGGAATGAGTGACATTAATACCCAACCCTGAGATTTTCAGAATTTTTTTTCTACGCAAGTTCTCGTGTGATCGTGCTTTCAGTGTAATGTAATTCAAATAATTGCATTAAAATTTAACAATAATATGATTAAGCATAAATATCAACATTAGCTGACTTTTCTTTCATTTATAACCACATAGTTACATAGTTTGCTAACAAATAATTGGGACATGTACAAAACAAATAGATAAAGCCTTACCACCCTTCTGATATCTAAGACAAGTTTAACAGAAAGTTTTTGCTACAGAATGAGACATACTTGGCTCATTAGCTAGAGATATTTTTGATAGACGCATAAACCTGGATTATTCTGTACATTCCTAAAGAGGGATTCAGCAGTGCAAAAATTTGTTACATTTAATACTAGCAGTATTCTATTAACATGGAGGTTATGATTTTTTTTTAGACTAACAGGCATTTGCTATTTGGAAAAGGCAGCATTTTTATAATAATGATATATCTTTTTCAACTATAAACATCCCTCTTTATTTAGCTAACTTCTACTGTTATTTCAACCATGTAAAGGCATTCACCAAACACAGGCACAGAATGTTTGAAAGACTTGGAACTTTTATCTTATATTCTATACTTCCCAAATGTCTTCCCATATTGGCTGAGGGCTTCATGCTTCTCAGATTGTGCAATTTTTGTAGAAACACCACACATTTTCACAGCACCATCCATGCATACTGTCAGTGATCCGGGTCCATTTGTAAGTGAACTATACATATATAAATAATAGATAACCTTCCACTTGTTTTCAAATATATGTAATCAACTATATACACTTCGTCATGGATTCCACCCACGGTTCTGCTATCAAGGAATCCACGTCTGGCATTGATCCTTGGAGGCAGAACTGGTGTTGTTTTAGCATCATTATTTCTTTGAACTAATCAGTTATCAAATATGCTCATTTTTCATTCTCAGACTTCACGTTGAGCCTGTCTTGGATGCACGCCACCTTGGGTTATGTATCACAGCAGCCAAGGTGCTCAATCTTATTTTTTTGTGCAAATGCAACAAGGTAAACGAATGCTGTTCTTGGTATATGTCTGACCATGCGCTGGAATGAAATACTGCAGCAGTCTCTTTTATAGCAAGGGCAATTTCAAGAAACAACGTTCATAACACATGTAACTGTGATAAATGATGTTCCCCTTACTCATGTTCACTGATTATTCAACATTTTGGTTCTTTGCTGCATTATAACCATACAATCAACTCCAACTGCAGTTTGATCATAGCTCCAGTGTAGAAAATAATTCATATAAGTAAATCAGAATAGAAGATCTGATGTTGCAGATTCTGACCAGGCAAAGTCATCATCAGCAGGTTTGACTGAGAGATCTTCGGGGTCTGGTTGTGGCTCCTCTTGTTTAGGTGGAGCCACTGGTTCCTCCTGGTACATGTTCATACCAAACTGGTAATCCATCTGAAAACGGCCCTTGTAGCTAGACAGACCAGAACCTGTGAGAAAACGATCAAGACAAAAGACATTGCTTTAGAAAATCTAACTTTTCCAAGTTTTATAAATCACTTTAGATTATCAAGACATGAATTAGAACAATAGGGGTGAAACAAATGATGAAAAACAAGCTTAGTTAAGAGAGCCAAAGCTTATTCCTCAAAGTAAAAAGGAGGAAAGCATCACTTTTTGATTAAGTAATAAAATTTGGACAAGAATTTTAACAAGCATGTCTATCTTAAAAACACTTCAACATTAAAGACAACAGAATTTTTCTTATCTCTATAGAGATTTTGTGATTTTTTTCAGAAGGGGGAGGGGGCTGGAATATGAAAAATATATATATATCTTGAAAAGTTTGCCAGAATTGTTCTGAACTATCAAGCTTTCTCAAACAGTTCTCAAGGACAGTTTCTACATTCAGATTCAGATGGAATAATGCACTTTCAAGATTCAAGAATCAGCGTGTCAAAAGTGAAACCTACCCCCACTCCCAAGGCCTTGCAGAGATGACAAACTACTGTTACTGCCCTTGTTACTGTTGTTATCAATGCTCATAGTGAGCACATCTTCCTCGTCCTCATCATTGTCCATGTCAGGGCTGTCTTGGATATCGTCCACATCCAGTTTGACACCTTGGGAACGGAGCATGTTCAGCATACAGTCTTCAGAGGGGTATTCGTGTATGCTGGCCAGCTGGTCATTGCTGAAACTGACCGCCAGCTGGAATGACATCAATGGTTTTAATATTAATGCACAACATGGCATAATGTAAATACTTTTATTAATGTGCAGTGACTTAAATAGTGGAGGAAGAGAATGTTTATTAGAAGAGAATGATCCATGTAAATAATTAATACTGGGTCTACACAAACCAATGTTGATCTACTGTTATACTAGTACATAAATTGTTACTTGACATATGTTAAAGTAATAATTCACCTTGTACTGAGGAAGTTGCAATACTGAATATTTATATCTAAACAAACTACAAAGAATCTTCATCATTCTGACTCAAAAGCTTCATTTGGCTCAACATGAAAGGGGGGGGAGGGGTTAAGTTTTATTTTTAACTGAAATGCGGAGATATTCTTTGTAGACATCATATACCTGTTGGGAGAGCAACTAAAAGATCCAGCTTTCTAATTCCCTAAACACATGAAAAATTATTCCGGGTACATTTTTAAATCACATTTATACTTATATACATCACCTACCAAGACAGGTGACTCACATAAACTTAATATCCATCCAGCATGATAACCCCAATAAATAGGTGTAATTACAACCTGTAAGAATCTAGATACGTCAAGTAATTGCCGCCAGCACTCTCTCCCCACTAGTGCAACCTAAAACTGTGAATGGTTTTGGTATGCTCTGAATGAAAGTGCTTAAAGGTTTATAGTTCCATTAAAAAAAATTAATAAAAAAATAATAAAAAATTCCTCTTACTAAATAGTCTGTAATATTTTAATTAAGGTAGGGTAATTTATCAATGATCCCACTTCCACAACAATTTTCCCTTCATTTTTAAAAGATAAATTTATTTACTTAAAACAACACCTTATCACAAATATCAAGGTCATTTATTTTCAACCTGCACCAAGTTTACCTATCTCAATCAAGGCAAGCATAGCTGGCATTAATACTGAAGTGGTCATGCAACCTCCATGACTAACATCCTACAGGCAGGCTGACTGAAAGACAGTCGTCTACTACCCTTTTTCCACTGCCTTCAACATTTCACGCATGATCTACTGGATGAAGTGCAGGAAATAAATAACCTTAAAACAAAATTTAACCTTGTAGCAACATTTCTGCTGGTGAATATTTCATGCACAAAAACTGGTTGTCTTGTAATTTACCCAGTGTGGCAAAAGAAACACTAGCTGACTCACATCAAGCAATCATCATTAATTTAGGATGTACACAGAAATGTGTCACACTATTTTTTTTAAAATCCATTTTGTCTAAACAATGATTTCATGTTGCAATACTGATAAAAAAACTAAAACCACAAAACTGTAAAACGTCCCTAGCCTGTTACATCAGCAAGAACCCCAGACACATTCATCACAAATGTGCTGATGATTCAGCCATAAGCCACTTTCCTCTCCACATAACTCTTACCCTGGTCACGCTTATCAAGGTCTCATAATATGTTTTGTCACATAACATAATGACGATTTCAAAATTAACATTCTGGGCCCAGTTTTATAAAGGACGTTTAGCACTAACCAGTGGATAAGCCTAACCAGTGGATAAATTCCCCTAACACCCATTAACTAAAAGATGATTAAATTGTGTTTTATATACAGTCGTCTGACGGAAAACAGCCAATAAGTTAACTGGCCAGTGTTTAACTGGATTAAATAGTTATTTAAAGGTCAGTTTACTAACAGACTATTTAGGTCTGGTAAGAGTTAAACACTGGTTAGTGCTAAACGTCCTTTATAAAACTGGGCCCTGGTAGCTTGATCACATCCAATATCTAATTTCCAGTGAAATATTACCATTACAGTTCACAATATTAAGACATTTACGTAAGCTTTTTTTTTTTTTTTTTTTTTTTTTTTTTTTTTNTTTTTTGTGAGTTACAAGACTGATATATTAGTGCAAACAATATCATGAAAATGCTGGCTACCAGTGTGAATACAGCATTAAATCTGTTACTTTTTTCATCAGTGTTATTGCCAAGATAAATGACAAACTGAAAAAGACCTCGAGTTTAATTAAGTCTGTCAATAGCATTGTTTGAGGATATTACATGCATGACACATCTTTGTTAAATTGCTAGATTCAAAAAGCGAGGAGTTCATAACAATAAGACAGGTTTTTCATATGGAAATCGGGGGAAAAGCACGCACCTTTTCTCATCAAGAAGAAAAACCACATTATTTCAAATTTAATACACTTAAGGTCCTTAACGGTGTCAAAACCATTATGTATATGACTAACATGATGAAAAGAAGAAATGTAACCTATTGTGTATATTCAACATGCTCTCACATCTATGTACGTCATTCTTTTACTGTTCAATTATGCCCACTTTTTGCACAACCTAATTTTCCTCAGGATTCATGATAGTCACCCACTACTCAAGATTTCCATTTTCAACTGCTGTATCTGCATATATATATATGCATCTCCGTGACGAAGACCTGAAAACAGGTCTAATAAACTGATGAGATTTGAGATTTGATACCAGAAGTGAATGCGCAGCTATCAATTACTTCACACCTGAGTCAGCGGACACGTGTTGTGGAAGTGTGCCCTCCCTCTCATTGTCATACAGTCATATTTATCAGGTTTTAAGCACTCTCCAACATCTATTAAAGCTGGTTCATTTCAGCCAAATCAACCTGTTGAATCAAATCAAGGATATAAGGATGGGGGGGGGGG